GGGCACACATAATGCAAGTGAATGGAAGAACAGACAGGAAGAAAGTCGGTCATTCAGTTTAACTGCTATTTAAGTCTGACGATGGAGATAGAAGCTGTTAATGGACACTTGCATTACTCGCACAACAGAAAGCAACTCGCGGACTGAAAGTGACAGACTCAATGAGCATACTTAAGAAGATCCAAACTGGCAAACTCAGATTAGAATAGATTGACAGTATCCGTAATCCCATCCAGAAGTCCCTCCTCAAGAAACTATCTTGGCTGAACACGGCGGTAGTCGCCGGGGTGAACAGAAACGAAATAGCCGAAAGACTGGTCGTATTAGCAGGGCTTGGTGGATGAACAAGTATGGGTGGGGCAAATACTGAATGCCAAGCGTTTCAAATCCGTTGAGACAAACGAGTCAGGGACGATCAGTCGTTAGTCGAGGTTTCAAACATCACTAGCCCCATTACTAAACCTTTCCTTTACCAGTGTCAATCACAGCAAGGGTCTCCTCTAGGTCTTTCAGTCAGTCCCACTGTTGCTGTGTAAATGATGAACTTACGGCAACATATATATTTATTATGTTCAAGCTTAGGCCACCAATCTCCGTCTGTACTTTCTGCACCTCCCGGCATCATGATTCCACCGAATCACCACATGTTTCAGTTCCTCCTACACTTGCAGATATTGCCGATGTCTTCCATGTCCAGCAGGTTTACAAAGCTGACTTATCCAGGCAATAATATTTGTCTGTATTCAGCTCTAGAAGCATGATGACATCACAAGCGTATATCAACATCTCTAGCATGGACCCTCTCTGTCTGGGACTGCTTCAATTCTAAAAGAACACTCTTATATGGTTCAACCTCACCCGTTCTGTTTTTCGCCTAAATCTCCTGACTCCTGCCTTTCTATTTCTCTGCTTTCTTCTCTCCCTAATTCCTCGTTTTCTCATCTGCTCTCTCTCTCTCTCTCTCTCTCTCTCTCTCTCTCTCTCTCTCTCTTTGCTGCTAGCTGAAAATGACGTCAAGCTGTATCTGCACCACTGGGTGTTGAACTGATCTGTACCACTGGGTGTTAAACTGATCTATACCACTGGGTGTTGAACTGATCTGTACCACTGGGTGTTGAACTGATCTGTACCACTGGTGTTGAACTGATCTGCACCGCTGGGTGTTGAACTGATCTGTACCGCTGGGTGTTGAACTGATCTGTACCACTGGGTGTTGAACTGATCTGTACCACTGGGTGTTGAACTGATCTGTACCACTGGGTGTTGAACTGATCTGTACCACTGGTTGTTGAACTGATCTGTACCACTGGGTGTTGAACTGTTCTGTACTACTGGTTGTTGAACTGATCTGTACCACTGGGTGTTGAACTGATCTGTACCACTGGGTGTTTGAACTGATCTGTACCACTGGGTGTTGAACTGATCTGTACCACTGGGTTGTTGAACTGATCTGTACCACTGGGTGTTGAACTGATCTGTACCACTGGGTGTTGAACTGATCTGTACCACTGGGTGTTGAACTGATCTGTACCACTGGGTGTTGAACTGTTCTGTACTACTGGTTGTTGAATTGATCTGTACCACTGGGTGTTGAACTGATCTGTACCACTGGGTGTTGAACTGATCTGCACCACTGGGTGTTGAACTGATCTGTACCACTGGTTGTTGAACTGATCTGTACCACTGGTTGTTGAACTCATCTGTACCCCTGGGGTGTTGAACTGATCTGTACCACTGGGTGTTGAACTGATTCATGACAAGGCAGATATGGTCAGAGCCCTTTGGGAACAAGTAACGAAATTAGAAAATAAACTTGATTATTACGGGCTGGAGAGAATGATACACCTAGGGTGTGACCAGAGGTTTCGGCCGGCACACTACGCTCAGAGAAAAGACAAAACTCACATACAACCACACAACGAATGGCACAATTAGTATTTGAACTTTGCGCTCGCTGCTGAGGATGGGAAAGGAGCGCGTATGGGAATGCTTTGCAATCTTAATTCTCAACTCAGCTCTATTGACCTCCACTTATTTTTCCAGTGCAATGGAAGTTTCGCTTTCCATTTGTCTTCGTATATTTTTTTTTAGCCTTTCATCATAGCATTTTTTAGACTTTCCAAAATAATATTTCTTGCTTTTCCCCCAGGTACTGACAGCAACAAATTCCCCCCTCTGATCACTCCTTGTGGCAGTTTCACAACGTATCCTTACGCTGTTATGTTTTCGGTGTCCTCGCAATTTCGTAGATGTGTTAATACTGGCCTTAATAACTTCTGCTGTGATATCCTCTGGACCCGCAGCATGTCCGTCGTTCAGGAGATTAATGAATTCCCTCTTAGATAGTAGAAATACGGAGCCCAGAAAAGCACGTCACGCAAGAAGTTGCTAGATACTCTAGGAGTTAAGGATTCTTCGTGCTGAAGAATACACATCCACACATACAAACACAAATATCATCACAGCGAGTCACACATTCGCATACACACATACATGCACACTCGCTCACATTACATATGATTTCACACGCATGCGCACACACACTAACATTCTCTCCCACTCACACAAGACCCCCAAAACAGCCACAAAAGTTAGCTCAACAGGTGAACATCCTAGCCAGTTTTAGCCGCTAAGTCTTGGCAGAAGTCTTGCCAAAAATGCTAAATATGATTTGGGAGCCATCCATACTATAAGGTGTGTTTCCGAGAGTGAAAGGAAGTTTTAAAAAACACAGTGGATAGGAGTAGTGATAATATGAAGTTTTGTTGTACGAAACTTACTTAGAGCGGCCGTACTTATGGTTGCAAGTCTGTTTCTTCTACACAGCACTGCAGATTCTGACTACGTTCTGAAAGAGGTAGAAGTAAGTTCAAGTGACACTGTCCGTGTCTATACACCTGACGAGCTGAGGCGTTACGATGGCAGTGTAAGTTCATATACTAAAGTAGAAGTACTCTTTATAAATCGTAATATCTTTTTGTCTGTCAAGAACACATGAAACATATTTTCACACAACCTAGATAATAAGATAATTTACATGACAGCCGATTATGAACTATAAATTCACTTGTATTAGTTACAAATATAGGCTCTCCGAAATTTAACCCGATATTATGGCGGCCATAAAATATCCTTACGGGGCTCAGTTCTATTAAAAATATGCCGGCTCTGTATAACGAAACAAATGCTCTAACAGGGTCTCAGCGATATGTTACTTGCAGACCTGTTTCTGTGACTATGCCTCACCGCCGACCGTATCCCCCGCGCCACTACGCGCGTCGCGGATGGGGGCTAAACTAGATGGCTGGGACTCACGAACAGCAGCTACCGCATCTCCTGCAACTCCCGCATCTCCTGCAACTCCCTCCAATTAATTTGCTAGTGAGTCCCAGGCACCTAGTTTAGCACCCCATCCACACTGCACGGGGGATTATAGTCTGCTACTATCGTCTGCAGAAACACTCGAAATTGTCAACGGTCAATATTATCATCTGCTATTATCGTTTGCAATGTTGCGTCTCTTGAAATTGTCAAGTAATCCTAGTTTTGCGGCGATTTGTTCCTTGGCAGAAAGTCCGCATTTTACATATGCCTGAGCCCCGTAAGGATATTATTTTATGACCGCCATAATATCAGGTTGAAGTTCGGAGGAGAGCCTAAACATGGACCGTTATTCTGAAGAGTGCCATTAATATTATATTCCTGTTGAGTTCAGTTATACTATAACTTTTAGGATAGTATCAGGTTAGTTGAACCGTTTGTTGTGGAACTTACTACTAGCTACAAATGTTTTAATTAATGTTTAAACATATTAAAAATATTATATGCTGACTGTAGCATTTGAGACCCCAACCATATTTAAAGACTATATGGGAAACTACTGTACGCTGTCAGGTTGTTGGAAAACATTTTCTTCTTCTCTCTTCCTTTGTCCTACTACTGCTTCCTCTAAAATAAAAAGGAAATTAAAAAACATATTTTGGGAAAGTTAGAGGAACTGAGGCATAGTCATGGAGAGACTGAGAGGGGAAAATGTACACTTTAGTAGCTTGGCCCGGAAGAACATCTGTATCTGAAATGATTTGATTTACAGTAATACAGTATAGGAGTCATAAATCTGTGAACAGACATACTGACCAACATCAGAGATCATGGACTAAGAAGAATAAGACCTGAGTTTCTGACAGGCTATGTACTTGTGCTTGTTTCATGTTTGGCTGCTGGATTTTAACATCTGGGTTGCTTGTGAAAATACTTTGGACAACAGTAAACTGTTTCAGTCTCATGTAGTTGCTTCAGCATCATCTATGCTAAAGTTTTTTATTTTGGAGCAGTACGTTTTCAGTCTTATGGAACCTAAAAATAGCTTAAGGGTAGAAGAAATTATATTAACAGTTGAGATAGAATGGGTTGGCAGAAGTACGGAACTGAAACAGTAGATAAATAAGAACTTACTATTGAATATTTTATGAGTTCTTGGAACGAAAAGAGTAAATAACAGCTGTTATTACCCACATCGATAAACCTGTTTACTTTGATTAGTGACTTCGGTCTAGAATATCATCATTTCATGATAAGCTTACCAGATATATTCAAGTTATTCTTATTTTATTGACTTTTTTTATTTGTTTCTGAAATTTTGAATATAGTTTAATATTGCCCTCTAATTAAAAACTGTTCTCCTGGTCTTTGGACAGTTGTACGAAAATCACACGGCAGGAGAGATTGGGGCCTTACCATGTAAAATTCCCATAGAAAGCTGCGAGTGCACAGCTGGTGTAACCAACCTTCATTGTGGAGATGGCACAGAATTAACTGATGTCGTATGAATGATTTGATCGTAGAATTCTAATGTTTGATGTCTGTGATCTTACATGAATAAAACAGAGTATTCAGCCATGATATCAAACATTAGAGTAATGATATCCCTCGCGATTTGAGGGAAGATTACTTGACTTTATTTCAACATTTATATTCTTCTTTTTCTTAAAGTCCATGGGTGTAACGTTGATAGTCATAACTGTCCACAACCTTCTGTCTCATGTACTTTCAGTCAACTCTGACACAGATGATCTTCCATGCCATGATGTCAAACAAACTGTCCAGCATCTGTTCTCTCCTTCTCCCTATGCCTCTCTTCCCTTCCAACTTTCTTCACGATGTACTCCAGTTTTCTTCTTCTCATCACATGACCAAAGAATGTAGATTGTCTCTTTTTGATGTGTCCAATCAGTTGCGAGCAGATGGCGACACAGGCAGACAGTTTCTTATCAGCTGTCTGTACTGGTGGCAGAGCAGTTATGGTTTATAACCATCTGCAGTGACGCTGGCTCACATCTCCTGACTTTACCTTTTCCTTATAGAACCTGTCCTATTGAGAGGTACTTTTTTACAAGTTAAGCCCTAATTCTGGTCTTGAGACCTTTGCCCCTAATGACAATGTATAATTGTTATCTGTGTATCTGATACACTGCAGAATGATGGAGAGCCAATACTCATGGCGATTAAAGGAGCTGTCTTTGATGTTTCAAGTGGAAAAAGTAAGTTACCAAAAAACTGCTAATATAATTATATTTTACCTACATATTCTAAGATAGTACATTACTTAAAGTCATTACTATCATGCGCCGTGCTGAACTTTGTATGCTTTCATCTTCCAGCACTATCATCTGTATGTGTTCTTAAGTTTGACTGTTGATCATCTGCTGCGCCACTATGCCAAACTGTTCAACATGTTCTCGCTCTATATCCTCTGAGGCCATTGAAATAGATTTTGACTTGAATGGCTCAAAGGGTCCTCCAGCCACTGACATTCCTGAGTTATTATGTTCATCATAATGGAACCAGCCAATTATGTTGAAAACTATTTTGAATGGTTGTTTTATACTAGACACAGCATTGTGGCCCCCAATTTTTTTTAAAATCCATGCCTGGTTAATATAAATGTCTTTATTCAATAGTGCTGTTTTAGTTGTTTTTTATAATATCTTCTAAATGTAAATTTAATATAAAAATTAGTATATGTAGTTACGGGTTCTGGCAGTTGAAAGACCTGGCTAATGGTGTCACCTTTTCAGTGGCATTTATTTTTTGTGGGCTAAAATACATGTATCCCTGCATTGAGGCACTGTCTTTATTTGGAGTTACAAGTTCAGATTTCTGTACAGTCACCAGCTTTAAATTTGAGTGCTGTCTTATTTGCCCTTCTGTCTTTACATCTTTTATTTGTGAAGCATAATCAAATTAAACCTGTCAGTGCTGCCTCATGTTGGACAGAATGTCTGAAACATGCTGATCTCTTTGCCTCAGAATAAAGATAGACCAATGAATAAGTGAGCTAATGTTCATCTTTTAGCATAGGTAGCTTCTGCTGTATCTCTTGACATGGGAGGCATGATACCAGATCTGTTCAGAGTGGGTCAGAGAGTTGTGGTTCAGTTCCTTACATTGAAAAATGTTGACCATTTAACATTTATCACAGAATACAGGCAATGTTTGGCAGTGTCTAACATATGATGTGACAGAACAATCCATTGACAGGATTGATGTAGCATACAGGTGGACTGCTGTCTTTGTCTAATTGAAATGCAATTACTAAGAATGGAGTATTGCTTTCTACTGGGCAACTGCTGTGATATTGTTCTTTACTAAAAAATACACCAATTTGCTGGGATTCAATTAAGAAAATTTCAACGGACATGTGGGAGAACGTCGACCTCCATGGTCCACATATATGGGACCATTTAGTGACAAAGAAAATAAATGTAACAACAATGGAGAACAATTACTCAATGTATGTGCAGAGCATGAACTAATTATCAGCAACACGCTATACCAACATAAGAGAAGCAAGATACTGACCTGGTATAAATGGATATAATATTAACCAAGCATCACGGATAGATTTTATTCTCACAAAAAAGAGCGACAGATGGAGAATAAAGAACTCCAGGGCCATCCCAAATGCAATAATAGACTCTGACCATAGACCTGTAGTACTTTGGCTCCATAAACCAACAAGAATTTGCACTGATAAAACACCACAGCTAATGGATCAGATAGCCATAGAGAAACTAAAAGACAAAGATGTGGCAATTCAAGTTGAGGAAACAGTTGTTGTTGTTGTTGTTATCGATCCAGCGGCGCATGAGCTTTCGCCCTTTGGCCCAATGCCATGTAGTGGAATTTGCATGTTTTCACAAGCTGTTCTTTTCCTCCGTACAAGGTGTTCCACTTGTCTGGTCTCGGAGGGAGTAGCGTTCTTCTTGTCTCACTGAGTTTTGGGCACTCAAAGAGATGGTGTTCAACAGTTTCGTAGGGGTAGTTACATAGCTGGCACTCTGGGGAGTGTTGTGGCTGTATTCTGTTTAGGTGTCCATTGAGTGGAGTATGTTGCGTTCTAAGTCTGAAGATGGTGGCCTGGTCCCTTCTTGTTAGATGGTTAATGCTGTCATTAGGATCAGGGCCAGACATATGTCTATAAACCTCTCTTCCAGTGTCTCCCATGGCCCATCTGTTCAACCAAGTCTCTTTGTTTATAGCTTTTATCAGTGTTTTTGCTGTCTGGAGGGTTGTCGCTGTAGGTGGTTGTTCTTGTGTTGCTCCTTTCTTTGCCAATCTGTCAGCTCTGTCATTACCTGGTGTGCCGGAGTGACCTGGAATCCACTGCATCACTATTCTGATGTTGTATGAGGTAATAAGCTGATCGGCATCCAGGATTATCTTGGCTATGTCAGTTCTGCAGCGTTCATTGCCCTCCAGAGCTTGAAGGGCAGACATTGAATCTGTGAAGATGACAATATTTTGGACCTTTGAGGGGTAAACATCCATTACAGTCTTTAGGTGGTATACTGCTGTTTCCAGTGCAATTATTTCAGCTTCATAGTTTGAACAGAATTCCCCGCATGCATCAAAAATCTCTTCAACAGATCCATCGGGATAACCTATGTAGATTCCGTAACCTGCTTTAATGGTAGCTTTAAATGCTGATCCATCAGTATAGACATGTATCCATTCTTGGGGGTAAGAATCAACGGTCTTTAGTGATGAGTTCATAAGAGCGATTGGGTCGGACTGTTTGGTTTCCTCGCCTACCAATTTAGTTTGGACTTCTGGAGCTTTAAAGCGAGCATGTGGTGGTAGGTTTTTTGCAACATTCTGAATTCCTTGACGTCTTTCTGGGAGGTGGTATCTGTCCTGAATTTCATTAACACAGTGTAAAACCGATTTGTGCTTTATTCTTTGTTTGGGTTCCCAGTTTTCTACAAGATGTCTATTAGGATGGTTACGATTTTTCCTAACGCATCTTTCATAAATTTCTAAAGTGGCTTTTTCTCTCCGCAACCCGAGGGGTTCCACATTTGTATGGATTTCACATGCAGCAGTTGGTGTAGACTGCATAGCTCCGCAGATTAATCGGAGGGCATTATTTTGTACTCTGTCAAGAGTCTCTAGGTTAGTTTTGGAACAAGTTGTAAGCAGTGAGTTGTTGTACTCTATCACAGAGCGAACATATCCTAGGTATAAGCCCCTCAGAGTTTCCTTGTCTGATCCCCATGATGTACCTGCAAGTCTCTTTAATAACTGTAACCGCCTCAATGCCTTATTCCTGATGTTTTCAATATGGTTCTTGAGGCTGAGCTGCGGGTCAAGTGTGACTCCAAGGTATGTGGGATGCTCTTCTTTCATCACTTGGTGTTTGTCTAACCTCAGGTTAATATTCTTCCTTGCTACTTGGTGGCTTTTGGTAAAGATTGTGTAGACCGTCTTTGCACAGTTAATCTTGAGTTTCCATCTTTGGCAGTAATCATGCAGTCTTCTAAGGTCTCCATTCAGTCTTTGGGCTCCACTTTCCACATTTTCATGACTCTGCCATATTGCTAGGTCATCAGCGTACAAGGCTTTTTCGGCCTTGATTTGTTCTGGCAGGTCATTGATAAAGATTAGGAATAGTGTACAGCTCAATGATGAGCCTTGTGGCAAGCCCTCCTCCAAGACTTCTTTAGAAGAGATTGCGTTGTGCATCTTAGTCTGGATTGTTCTATCTATCAGGAAGTATTTCACCCAGTTATACAATCTGCCATGTATTCCTATGCTCATCATCTTCATCAGGAGACCTTTTCTCCATACTCTGTCATAGGCCTGCTGGAGATCGACAAAGACTGCCACTGTGTGTTTCTTATTCTGGAAACCATCATGTATTCTTTGTGTCAGTCTGAACAGCTGGTCTTCTGTGCAGCTGTTGGTTCTGAAGCCTGCCTGTTCATGGCATAGAACACCAGAACTCTCAAGGAACCAATATAAGCGCCTGTTTATCATTCTTTCTGCAACTTTGCCCAAGCATGATGTTAAGGATATCGGGCGGTAGCTTTTGGGGTCATCTGGAGGCTTTTTGGTTTTAAGGATGGGGACGATATATGCATTCCTCCATGCCCTTGGAAGTTTGCTTGACCTCCAAGTTTTATTAATAAGCCTGAGAACTACTTCTCTCCCAGACCGGCCAAGATGTAGCAGCATTTCGTTGTGGATCTTATCTGGGCCTGGAGATTTTCTAGGTTTTAATTTCTTCAGGGCTTGCTCTAGTTCATCCATGCTAAATTCATTTTCAAAAAGGGAGTCGCTGGCTGTTGGAGCTCTCTCTTGTTTCTTCAACTGAGAGAGCTGTGTTCTATTGAGTTCTGACAGCTTACCTGCTCTGTTAACTGAGGCAAAATAATGATTGAAATGTTCTGCTTTCTTCTTGTCTTCAGTGATTGTCTTACTCCCATCTGTCACTGGTTTTGGGTTCACCCTTGTACTTTCTCCGGAGAGGTTTTTAACTAAAGTCCATGCTTTATTTCCATTCTGTCTAAGGTCTAAGTTGGAGCAAGTTTCTGTCCATTTATCTCTTTTAGCCTTATTAACTACAAGCTTTACTCTGGCACATGCTTTATTGTATTGGATCTTTGCTTCTGTTGAACGTGCAGTTTCGAGAAATATTCTTGCTTTATTCCTTTCAGATATAGTATTTTGAATCTCTTGATTCCAAAAAGGTTTATATGCCTTCCGGCTGCCCCTTGGGATGGCTTTCGACGCTGCATTCAGGATTGCTTGTGTTATGTCTTCACAAAAAGTTTCCACACAGCTGTTGTCAATTCTTCCCAGGAGGCAGTCAGATGTTTCCTGAAATAGTTTCCAGTTTGCTTTTCGGAAATTCCAACGGGTTCTCTGCTTAAAGCGTAATTTAGGGGTGGTGCTTACAGTTGTGAGTATAGGTTTGTGGTCACTTCCTATGTCGTCCAGGACTTGGGGATAGCTTGCGTCTGCTAAGTCGGATGAGCAGATGGTCAGGTCTGGTCTGCTGAGAGATAGGTGGGCCCTGTGTAACAGTGTAGGTGTAGACTCTGTGTCCTGCAGCACTAATAGGTTAGTTGTTTCACAAGTATCTTCGATGTACTTCCCTGTGCTATTGTAGTCAGAGTACCCCAACGTGGCGAGTGTCCGTTGAAGTCACCAACAAGAAGGGTTTTATGGTACTGTGTCTTATATAGTTTCTGGTATGTTGCATGTTGTCTGAGGTGGGCTGTACACGTTGTATATCGTATATTTGCTTCCATTGTGCCAGATAGTTATTTTTTGCACATCTGTAGGGTGAGATGTCGACAGCATTGTTACATCTCCTTGTATGTCATTTCTGATATAGGTCACTATGCCCCGGCAGTCATTGCACTTACAGGCATAACTAGTATATCCAGTGAGATGCAGATCAGAGTCTTTATGCAGGGTTTCTTGTAGGGCAGCCACGTGTACCCTGTGGTTGTTTAGCAGTTTGGCAAGTTCAAGTTTCTTATTTCTTATTCCACAGATGTTCAGCTGCAGAATATTGAGCATCTGTGTATTTTTTGCTGTGCTGTCTGAGTTCTTTTTGCTCTCCCTCCCACTCTTCCTCCTCCTGGGGTGTCTGTTTTCCCTATTTATTTCAAATTTTTCCAGTAGCCAATTTTTCGCACATGACAGCCTGGTTTCCCACTGTCTGGCGCGGGCCTTGATAGACGAGGCGACGACCGATCTCGTATGTATTCTTAAATTTTGACATATTCATGGCATTGTGGTGCTGGGGTGTCTGTGGATTACCTACCTCCCCGGGCAGCAGCTAGAAATGCCCTGTACAGTTCTAAAGGAAATATGGGTTGTGTTTCTGCCTTTCCCTTTAACACGTAGCTAAGGTGGGGCTCACAGTGTTCTCATTCCCCGCCACCAGATTGCCTGCAGGTTTCGCTGAGCTCTTCATGTCTCTAAGCATGGCCTAAGCATGAGTAGTTGGGGCAACTGGATCGTCACGTCCTGAGTCCCTGTGCCTTCACGATAGTTTCCGGTATTCAGGGGGGTTAGCATACTTGTTTCCATTCCTAAGACTGTTCAGCACACCTCTGGTTCCTTCCCTCCCACAGGGGGCAGTACGGTGTGGTGCACCGGGTTTATTATCGAGGTTTGCTCCTCTAGATCCATTGTGTTTTGCCTGGGGATTCGCACCCCCAGTTACCGGGACTACCTCGGGGAGGCTGTGACTCTTCGCCACGCACAATGGTCTTGAGGTAAGAGAGGTTTTGCTAGGTCAAGAGGCTGATACCACAATGGACGCTCCTTTCGTGAACAGATATTCACTAGACCTAGGGTGAAGTAAGGGGGGGGAACCCACTACCCACAACACCAACACTTCTTACCCCCTGCCTCTCGAGGCTCAGTCCCGAGGAAACAGTTAAAAACACCTTCAGTACTCTTGAGAAAGGAAATGACATAGAAGAAGAGTGGCAAATTTTTAAAACCTGCATCCTGAATGTAATGACAGAAAAGTGCGGACTCCGAAAGCCAAGAAGGCACATGAAACAAACAGCATGGTGGAATGAAGAAGTTAAAATTTCTATCAAAGAAAAGAAGAAATATTTTCATCAGTGGCAAAAGTCCAAATTAGATCAGGACTACATCGAATATAGAAAAGCAAGAGCAAAGAGCAAGAAGAAAGTAAATTCGGCGAAATCAGAATCATGGGCAAACTACGGAGAACAATTAGCAAGGCTATGCACTGATTCACCAGGTCTATTCTACCGAAGCATCAAGGCTATGAGACTGAGAGAAGAGAAATTTAACCCATCAAAGATCATAAACAGCAAGGCTAAAAAAAACCACTCACCAAATCCCAAGATGTTAAAAGAAGATGGCAAGAATATTTTTCTGAATTACTGAATAGTGGACCACAAGAACCAGTGTCTAATAAAATAAAATTTGGACAAGAACAAGAACCTAATATATTAGAATCTGAAGTTGAAAAGATCCTAGAACAAAGCAAAAGAAACAAAGCGGCTGGAACAGATGGTATTACAACAGACATAATACTTGCATGTAAGGCAACAGCAGTAAAATGGCTGACAAGAATATTCAATATGGCCTGGGAGGAAATGAAAGTTTCAGTTGACTGGCAGAGAGCAATTATAGTTCCCATATGGAAGAAGAAAGGTGATAAATGAGATTGTGAAACATACAGAAGTATCTCTTTACAAAGCCATGTAGGAAAGATGTTTGCAAAAATATTAGAACGAAGAGCGAGAGTGATATTAGAACCTCAATTAAGTAACGACCAGTTTGGATTTAGAAAAGGTAAGAGCTGCACTGATGCAATATTTACTCTTAGGCAAATTTGTGAACAGACAATCGAATATAATAAACACCAGAATCTTATATTCATTGATCAAGAGAAGGCTTTTGACAGGGTTAACAGAAATAAACTATGGAACATTCTTGAAGAATATGGTGTACCGGGTCAATTATTGGGAAACATAATGGCTCTCTATCAAAATAGCCAGAGCGCTGTAAGAACAAAGGAAGGTATGACAGACTGATTCCCCATTACATCAGGAGTACGACAAGGATGTGTCCTATCACCCCTACTCTTCATCACATATATGGATAAAATTGCACAGGAGTCAAACCAAAACACAGATATTATAAATGAACTTCTCTTTGCAGATGACCAATGTTTGTTACAAGAAGAAGAACAAAAACTACAACAAATGACATACAATTAGAACAAGTTCAAGAATTCATGTACTTAGAATGCATATTTACAGAAGATGGAAGACTCGATAAAGAGATACAGGCTAGAGTTCAAAAAGCCAATGCAGTCAACTAGCCCCACTTCTTCGTCATCCAAAGATCTTGTTACCAGCCAAACAACGGATGATCAACAGCATTTTCATCCCTATGTTATGTTATCAGTGCCAAACGTGGACAATGAACAAATCACATATGCAAAAAATAACTACGTGTGAAATGCGATGTCTCCGAAGAGTCACCAACAATACACGAAGAGACAGAGTCACAAACGTCAGCATAAGAGACAAAGTTGGAACAAGAGCATGCATGGAACATATTGAAAGACAGAGAATGAAGTGGTTTGGTCATTTAGTAAGAATGCAACCGGATCAGATTGCCTATAAGGCCTTTTACAATAGAACATCGGGAAGAAAGGCCAGAGGAAGACCCAGGAAAAAATGGATAGATGGAGTAGCTGAATACGGCCAGAAGATCCAGAAAACTGTCACTCAAATCACGCGAGAGGCACAAAACAAATATTTTAAACCACGACACTGGGCTGCAACCCGGTAAACGTGAAGAAGACAATAGATAGATAGAAATTAAGAAAAAAGACTTGCTTTAGTAATGCAGAGACTAAACGGCATTAAGAAGCTATGGCATAGCACCTGCAAATAAATGAAAGTGAAAATTTTGAGATCGTACATTTTCTTTCATGGCAACTTATCGATTTGAGTAGCGGATGCAGTCTTTGAAAGAGAAAATCAGAGCTTTTAAACTTAAATGCTTCAGAAAGGTTCTTAGAATACTGTGGACCAAGAAAAAGAAAAATGTCAACATTTTGCATGGCCTGATTATCAAGGAGAATTGGCTCATAAACAGCATCCTGTCCCCCCAAAAAACTAAAATGTTTGAAAGCAGGGAAAAGGGAGTATCTAAATATGTCGATGTGATTAGCACTGAGAGAGAATGAGGGAGGGGGGAAGGGAGAGGTAGGTTATAAAGTGAGAGCTAGGGCTTTTAAGGATATAAATAGTTTGAATATCGGATTAATGATTTGAGTCTTGGTATGTAAAGTTACAGGAGCATTTTAAAGTTGCAGTGTTCACCGAATGGAATTCAGAATGTGTGGATATATAAAGGCTTTCACAACATGGTAAATCCGAAAAAATTCTTGCATTCTATTTTACATTTATTTTCTTGGATGCTAACTGAGCACTTTTTCAAATAGAATTCTATGGAAAAGGTGCCCCTTACAACGTGTTGGTTGGAATAGACTCTACAAAAGCTGTGGCAAAAATGTCATTAGAGCCAGCAGATCTCACTCATGACATAGTAAGTTGTTTGTTGTTTCTTTAGTTTGTCTGTATGCTCTTTTACTGTTGCTGACTTTCTAATACTTAAAGACTGTTTATGTTGGAACCTCCCCCCGGAGGCCATTAGCCTTCAGTGGTGGGGGAGCTTGAAAACCTCAGGGAGCTATGCCAGCGGGAACATATATTCCTAGCAGGGTCACCCAAGCCTGACAGGTTATTGGTGAGGGGCCAGACTAAAGATGGCCCCCTAGTCCTCCAAGCTCAGTGTTAAATACAATGTTACAGAGGAAATAAGTGCTCCAAATGGCCAGCGGTCTTGGGACAGAGTCCTTCTGTCAGTTTGAACAATATGGGCAAAAACTGAAAATAAGCCCATGATGGGAAAACAAATTTACCGGACATCAAAACGAAATTAAGAATCGTTTTCCAGAATGTAAGAATCATGTTTGAAATGGCCAAAACTGCCCAAGTAATTACAGAAATGCAGAACTATAAACTACATATTCTGGGATTCAGTGAAAGCAGGTGGACAGATTTAGGATAATCCCCGGCAGGTACAGGAGATTCCATGATATACTCTGGAAGAGATGATAACCTACATTCTGCAGGCATGGCAATCTTTTTAAAGAAAGGTATACACAAACATCTCATGGAGTGGCATCCAATCAACCTGAGAATTATTACAGCACAATTCAGTGGGAAACATACCACACTTACTATCATCCGACTAAAGCAGCTGAAGACAAAGATAATGAAACATTCTTTAGGAGACTGCAGCAGGTAGTAGATAAAGTACCAGCTCATGATATTCTATGCTTTATGGGAGATCTCAATGCAAAAGTTGAAAACGACAACTTGAACAGAGAATGATCAGTGGGAAAGCAAGGATGTTGTACAATTAATGACAACAGAGAAAGATGAAGCAACTTTGCACAGCAAAAAGACTTGTTATACGAGGAACACTATTTCCTCACAAGAACATAAACAAGCTTACATGGATATTCCCAAATGGAAGAGATGTAAACCAGATTGACCATTTCATGGTGAACAGAAAAAGATGTGGGTCCCTACTTGATGTGCATGTCAAAAGGGGAACAGATGTGGTAGCGATCATCACCTCGTAGTTGCACTGCAACGACTGAAACTCAAAAAAGTGCACATACACGCTCAGACACAGACAGCACACTACAATGTCAACCTATTAGGAGAAAAAGACATTGCCGCTAAATTTAAGAGAAGATTTCAAACCCTATCAAATAAACCAGACACTCCAACTACAATCAGCATTCAAGACAGATGAAACCAGATCAAAGAAAGTTACAAAACAACCAGCAACAAAATTAGGAACCAGGAAGCAACACCACAAAGAATGGATAAGCATTCAAACCATGGACTATATTACCAAGCGGAAAAGGAAATTGTTTCTCATAAATCACATTAAATCAGAACGTCAGAAAGACAAACTAATGTTGAATACAGCAAACTAAATAAAATGGTAAAGAAAATTGCCAGGACTGACAAGAAGAGATTTGTGGAAAATCTAGCAGAAACAGCGGAAAATGCTGCCAAAGCACTTGATCTACAAACCCTACACAAAGTCATGCAACAAATTTGCGGAAGCAGAAACAACTACCACAGCATGCCCAGAAGACAAACAAAACTTGCAGTGGACTACTCACTTCTCTAACCTCCTGAATAGACCTGATCTTGAACATCCCAAAGATGTCCAGCTAGCCTCCACAGACCTTGAAATTAATATTAAACCACCAAGCAAACAAGAAATCCTTAAAGCTATCCAGACTTTAAAGAACAACAAAGCTCCAGGCAAAGACGAACTGCCAGCAGAACTCCTCAAAGTAGATCCCACCACAACTGCCAGCATTCTAGAACCATTGTTCGCGGATATTTGGGAAAAAGAAGTTTTGCCTGATGACTGGACTGTCAAGGAATAATAGTCCAAATCCCCAGAAAAGGAGATTTAATAAACTGCAATAATTGGAGGGGAATTACTCTACTCTCCGTACAAAGCAAAATCTTTTGCAAAATTATCATAATGTGGCTCAAAAAGAAAAGGGGGATAAATGCCTATGAGTAGAACAAGCAGGATTCAGAAAAGGTAGAGGCACATCTTTACCCTACGCAACGTCTTAGAACAATGCAAAGAATGGCAGAGAAGTATATATATTAAAGCGTCCATAGAGGCAGTCTCTGGAAAATATTACGACTTGAAATCCCAGAAAAGATAGTCAACAATTTGCTGTCTTGTATAAAGGCTTTTCTTGCAGTATGAAAAATTACAATACAACTTTCCCAGTAAAGACAGGTGTAAGACAGGGATGTTTTATGTCACCCCTCCTTGTGATTGATTAGATACTAAAGAACACAGTAGACAAGACATTGAGAGACATACAATGGACTCCATTCACCATGTTCAAGAACCTTGAATTTGCAGATTGTATAGCACTCCTATGTTGAGACCTGCTATGGCATAGTGGTTAGACCCTTCTTACCGACTCAATGGTCTTGCCAGATTTTTGTAATTGACATAGGGTTCCCAAGCCGAAAAAATCTAAAATGGGTACCAAAAAATGTCTTGGAAAATAAATTTAGTCGACTTGTGACTACATCACCTGTTGAGTGCTGATTTGTTTAGAGAAAATATACCAGATGTGCCATTTGTGCAAAAAGAGCGTTTATCTTATAAAACTACACACTCTGTCAGTATTGTATTTAATGTTTATGTTTTTAGGCTTTTAAAATTAACTTCATAAAAAAAAATAATCTGTCGCTATAATTATTTTTGTTCAAGCCATGAGCGAATGTCTTGTGCGTAAGTTTTTTCTTTTCAAATATTTTATATATTGATAACATTTAAAGATATTGAAAAATTTATAACTCAGCATGCCCGTATGTTTTTTTATTTACTATTAATGACAATAATCATGAGCGAGGAGTGCAGCAGTTAGTAAGCGAGAAGTAAAGACAAAATAAGGACTGATAGGAATTTTTTCCTTTTTCTGGAAATTCTGCCTGAAACACAATAGTGCTCACAGTAGGAATAATTTGATACTCCTTTTTAGGAAAGGTAATAAATGTCAGTAGCTGTAGGAACATGCAGCAAATTTGTTGAGAAATGCTTTGGTCCTCTAGAAAGAATGCAGCCAGAACAATTACCACAGTGTAGGTGCTGCACATGAAAAGATCTGAAGTGAAATCAAGAGGCCGCCCTAGAAGAAGATGGATTGGTGACATTAAAAAGTTTCTACATTGACATGGAATGACAGTAGCTATTGTTCCTCATCATGCAATAGATCACAAACTGTTCCTGCCCTCAAAGCCTAATGGCAGAAGTAGAAATTGATAATGTGATGATGAAAGAATTTCAGTAAATAAATTTATGAATAGTTATGAATGAAAAGATATAAAATTTTCTACAGAAATGTCTTCCAATTTATGAACAATAAATAACTTGTTTACTCATTGTGCAAGCACCTGAACTACCCATTTAGGGTACCCAAAAAAGTTAGTTGCATATTCTTTACAGGACGTTGCAGAACCAACTCCAGCAATTTTTGGTTGTTGTGGATTTTTTAGACAATTTTACATCCAGTAGTTTGCCACTGTTGTATGAACTTGTCAGCTCTTGGTGCCACTGATAAAACCACCTTAAGACAAATCATCCGCAGCTTGGACCAAACCTGGCATTACAAAGTGCGTTTGCAATGCCTAAGCCACAGGCACTGACTTGGGGTACATAGCCGATGTCATTTCAGCCATTGTATTACTGGAATAAGCAGCATCTACACTTTGTAGCAATTTATGTGTTATGCTTGAAGCTAAGACCTACTTCTGGCATGTTTATTTTGTGTCAAGTGAATAGTGTAAACATTTAAGAGAATCAGTAACAGGGGGTGACTCCTATAGCAGACCAGGACTGATGATGCTGGCAGGTTGTGATTGTCATCGATCACAACCATCACTACATTTATCTGAAACAAGTGCTGTAGAAATCTAGGCCTGAAAGTCTCTCTGTGTGCTTTCATTGCATCTTCAGTCTCCTTCATCCACATTCACAGAGGTCAACCTCTGCCTTGTTTTCTGGAAACTGCATCCTCCATCACCATTCACCCCAGACCACCATGGTGCTTGATATGGCCAAAGTACTGCAGCTTTTGGGAGAGCATGCTGTTTATAAGCCAATTCTCCTTGATGTTCAGGTCATGCAGGATGTCATTGTTCTCTTCATCTTGGTCCCCAGCATCCTGGAATTCTTCTGTCGCATTTCAGTTCAGAATTAACAGATTGAAATGGATTATTGAAGAAGAAACTGAAACATTTCTGGATGTTACTGGAGTACAGTGATGCTTACATACTTGAACTGAACAGGTGCTGAGCATAAATGGCCATAATATTACCTAGAGAATCTTATTTGAAGTGTTACTATTCTTGAATAATTTTTTTTTCTGTTATTCTGAAAAAGATGTTAATTTGTTGTTCATTGTATTTTTTACTCCATGTTTTTACAGTCTGACTTGTCTAGCTCCCAGCTGAAGGCACTGGATGATGTTTTCCATGAGACCTACATGGCCAAGTATCCAGTAGTTGGCTATATGGATTACTTGGTGAAAAAAAAACCAGACAAATTTGCTCATTTGAAGGTTATCAAATCTGAATTATAACAGCTGTTTTTGCTTGTTTTGTGGAAACATGTGACCGAAAATATGTAACTGACTTTGGTAAATAAAACACAAGGTTGCTTCTATTTAGTTTTATAAGATTTCTTTGTTGGAAATGTGTTTCTGAATTTTAATGAACTGCAGTTGATCTCCTGTTCTGTTAAATGTGAGAATCCTGACACTGTTTTTGAGTGGCAATGGTCAAAATCTGTGGTTTATATTCATGTTTAATATACAGGACTCTACAGGATTTGTATCTGTCTGTTGGATCTGGAGAAAAACCTAGTTACATGTGATCTTTGAATTGTGATTTTGACAATCAGATGCTCAAGACAAGGAGGTGTTGCTCCTGGCTAACATTGTTGAGTGCATAGTAAAAAGTGTGACTCTTTTGTGTTTTTCACACAAACAAAATGCAGCGTATCATGAATTAACTGCTTTTTGCTAATGACCAGGCCTTCATAGTATATAGGATATAACATTGCTGTAACTGCTCACATAAATAAATGAAGAATGTAAAAATATTATGGACAACTAAACACCCCCTCACCAAACTATTTTTTTTAACAGCATAAGAGTGTCTCAGTCAGCACAAGGAAACATTTTATACATCACATATTCATCCTAACCATAGGCTCCTAGTGCCAGATATAGTCACTGACAAATACCAAAAAAAAAAGAAAATTATTAGCTATGAACATTAGATGTTTGAGAAAGACTACAAGAGTGACTGGAAAAGATAAAAGTGATGCCATACCTTCAAGGCACATACCAAAAGAAATGGAATTTGGAGCATGAGGTAGACCAAGATAACTGGGAAACTACAATAGTAGGGTGTGTCAAAAAGAAAATTCTAAGCACTAGTGGCTCAACACTGACAGACATATTCTACTGTAAGAATAGTTAGTAACCTCCCTTTGCTCAGTTGTAAAAGACTAGGACACTGAGAAAGGTGGTGAAATCAAAAGTGATATGAACATGTATATAGGTAAACAAATATTTCATATTCTTACTTGACTAGCTACAGTTTTGTGATAATATAGTAACTTAAACTGACAACAAGATGTGATTTCTTTCTGTTTCCTTTCCTGTTGAAGCTAGAAACCATGTAAAACTTTCCTGTTGAAGCTAGAAACCATGTAAAACTTTCCTGTTGAAGCTAGAAACCACGTAAAACTTTCCTGTTGAAGCTAGAAACCACGTAAAACTTTCCCGTTGAAGATAGAAACCATGTAAAACTTTCCTGTTAAAGCTAGAAACCATGTAAAACTTTCCCGTTGAAGATAGAAACCACGTAAAACTTTCCCATTGAAGATAGAAACCATGTAAAACTTTCCCGCTGAAGATAGAAACCACGTAAAACTTTCCCGCTGAAGATAAAAACCATGTAAAACTTTCCCGTTGAAGCTAGAAACCACGTAAAACTTTCCCTTTGAAGCTAGAAAACACGTAAAACTTTCCCGTTGAAGATAGAAACCATGTAAAACTTTCCTGTTGAAGCTAGAAACCATGTAAAACTTTCCCGTTGAAGATAGAAACCATGTAAAACTTTCCCGTTGAAGATAGAAACCATGTAAAACTTTCCCGTTGAAGATAGAAACCATGAGCTATGTAAAATAATGGCCTCAGTGTTTCTTGAGCCAGTGAAGTGCCTTGTAACAGCTAGCTACATCAGGTCAATATTTTATGTTCTTTTGCACTTTGTTTTTAGGCATATTTTACTTATATTTTTAATTTTAAGATTTTTTGATAATTCATTCCAACTGTTTTCAGTCCACTATTTGAAAACAAAATTGAATATTGTGTGTTAAGGTAAAACTATTTCTGTTCAATAAACAGTATGCTACAACAACGGCAGTCAGCAGTTCCTATTTGTGAGAAAGAGAAACAGGTCAGCAAGGCAGAAAGAACCGGGTGTCATGTTGAGTGTTATCTCTAATACCATTCATACCACACTCTAGTAACAAGAAAATAATGTAAGGAAACAGTTTCTAAACATTCTTTTATAATGGAGGTAACAAACCGACAATGCCAAATAAAGCAACAAACACAAATTATTTCACAATTACTTTAAAACTAAGTAGACCCCCTCACCTCCTCCTCCCCGACCCCCCCAAAAAAACATATGCCCACACACACAAAGGCAAAGTCTAGCTCTTACCATACTGAAGGGGAATTGCGTATGAATGTCTTCCACTGTTTCAAGATGCCACAGTAATAAGGACAATTTTACATCAATTGTAAAATCTGGCAAATAAGGTAGTTGGCGAAGAACAGCAACATTCTTGTTGCAGCAGAAATGTCTTTACCAACCACCTTCATGAGTTGTTGTGGCTGGTTTAAGCATTTGGAACAAATAATGTGAAAATCTATCTTCCCCCACCTTCAGTTTCATTTCCGCGAATTGCCTTATAAGTATTCAAATTATAAGCAGTCATGTGGCGAGCAGCACATCTGTCTTGCATTAGCAGACAACAAACAGATCCCATGTTCTATTGGTCAGTTCACACAGTTAAAATATTATCACTTTTGGATTCAAGTCCTCCCTTACATACTGAAAGCGAGCGTACCACAGACCTACATTAGCTTGACACATTAATCAGTACAGCCATTTCTGAAACACCTTTCCTGCCGCAACATTTATTTAAAATATAATAATAAGTGTTCTCAGTTGAAACAGCTTGTCTTAAACATTATGCCTAGTATGCTAATACCTTAAAAATATAACTTGCATGTGAACCAGATTTAAATGAGAGAGAGAGAGAGCAAGTTAGCAGTGGCAGCTTCATTCTCACATGTTGATGCTATCTGGTCCAATGCCAAGATATGAAGATGATTGGAACAGAGAGCAGGATGCAGTGGATGACCAAGTATATCATCTGTCTTGCCTTGCTTGCACAGTCCACTGCATGCTGCAAATAGTTGACTTCCCACCCTTTGACCAGCCAGTTATTTCTCCATATGCATATGTTTAAATGTATGTATGCGTGTAATTATGTGTAGTGCAGAAACTGTATGACGTATGTAAGAATACAAATGAAACTATAATATGAAATATTTATAAACAATCACAGCAATATGTAAATAAATGGCTCGGATTTCCAGGATACATCAACATAGCAAGATTTATAATTCACATTAAGTATGGTAAATTCTCACAGCTTTATCAATGTCCTTTCTACAAACAGGACAGGCATCACGCCTTTCTTGTAAGATCTGTCCACATTCACAGCAGGTCACCATGTGATGGCAAGGAATCAACAGGCAGTCTCGCAGTCTATCCATACAAATGGCACAATCTCTATTCAGGTCACTTGGTATTATCATTGCAGCTAGAGAAAGAAATAGAAAAAAAAAGTCTTTATAAATTCTGCTTTGCTCACAATTACATACAATGGATTTTCTTTCACATAAAATACTAGAACAGACAGGATCAGAAATGACGATATCAGGAAACAAGCTGGAACAGAACCAGTACTAAACATCAAGAGGCAACAGGTCAAGAGGTGTCAAAACTACTACAAGCCAGTACACCATGGACAGCTCTGTCACTCGGACACAACAGAACAGAGCTAAAGGTTACCCAGGCAAGCAACAGATAGATGGAATATCTTACGTTGTGAATACCCACAACTATGTAGCACTTACTCGACACTTCTTCAAAACCTGACTGTAAAAGAGAGAACAGGGCTACAGAAGAAGAAGACATAACATCTTTTCAAATGCAACATAAGCGTGGCTTAAATAAACTATGCATTACCTTTTTGGGCACTTGTATTTTTTAAAGAAACGGATCATATTTCTTCTGTTCTACAAGCAACATCAAACAATATTAAAACAATGGCAACATGATTCAAAATATCATGCATAAATCGTCACATTTCTAATGTTTCAAAGACTTTTTTGCATTCCATAAATGACGATGATACTAAAAGTTTGAAAATGCTTACCCTCTCTTTGTAATATATGTACACTTTCATTATCTGTATGATGCAACGCTGGCACTACACGTGGGATCTGGGTCCCTGATGCTGACAATAGTTGCATTTCTTCTTGTCGAGCTAAACAGAATGATCACATTTTCAGTTTTCTTTTAAAAATTTGGCAAAATAAAATATATATTTTCAGAAACTCTGGCTAACAGACAAAATTTTAGTAGCTAGGTAAAATAGTCAGAAGGAAGCATTTCAAGGAATAATATTTTATGTAATATATCTTTGTCAACTAAGGCTAGAAAGTAGCATCTTAAGAGCAATACAGGGCTGATCCTGACGCATGAAAGTGAATCCAGGACAGCTAAAAAAATATTTGGAAACTGCAGTGATGTGGTTCTATAGGAGAATAATGAGAACACCATGGACATATAAAACAGCATTTTGAAGACGTCTTGAAAGAAATGAAAGCACAAACAGAACTGATCATATGCATCAGAAAAATATAATGTACATTGTTAAAAAAAAAGACTTTAATTTAAAAGTCAAGACCAGCAATGTGCAAGCAGTATTTCAGTTACAGCTAATAAATTTTGACCAGCCGCTACTCCTTAGAAAATTGTTTCATTCATAGTTCTGGTGTTCTCAGTCCTGGGGAGATCTATATTTGACACAGCTTTATTTAATTTTATTAACTTGTTTATTTAATTTGTTCATATTTCTACCCCTTTTTTGTTTTTCATACACCTCCTTACTTATTTCATTCTGTGTTATAGCCCTTCATTTTGATATTTACTCCCATTACATACTTTTTGGTTTCATGTTGATCTTGTTTTTTTTTTTAGAAGCTCTACTGTCTTGTCCGTTGGGTTTTCCAGTCACAATTTGTGTTGTATTTAGTACTCCCCGATAAAGACTTTGGTCGAAATGTTTGGTAGTATTTGTGCACATCTTTTCCATTCTCTCCGCCGAGTGTTCTAGTCACATTTTATGTTGTATCTAGTACTTTATGTCATTTTCTCGACACCCTTTTTTTAAATGCCATAATTTGATACAAGAACATTATCTATCAAAGAAATATAAAAACAGAACTCAAATACAATGGTCTCTCAGAATTTGAATACCTCAAAACTCGAACAACATTTTCATGCCACACAGCTTAGCCATGGGGAACATCTCGCAATTTAGCTGGTCACCTTGTAGCCAATTTGATGAATTAATGCTTTTTTGTTTATTTAATTTTGTTCTATAAAATACTTAGTAAATTAGTTATAGTTGGTAAAACAGGTAATGTTGGAAAATGAAGTAAGAGAAAAGCTGTTAGAGCAACAACTAACTTAAAAGTTCTTATCTCTAAACCTGAAAGTGGTTGTATGCAAACTTGCTACAGTGATTTGCCTAAATCGACTGTTTGTACAATTATTAAAAAAATTAAGCAGCTGTGAAGGAAGCTGATCTAGCAAAAGGGGTTACTACTCTGGCGGCGTCTAGGAGATCAACAGATATGGAAGCGATAGAGAAACTCTTATTAGTCTGCATCAATGAAAAACAGCTTGTAAGGGATGTAATTTCTGAAGGAATCATTTATGAGAAAGCAAAGACCCTACAAGATGATTTGGAAAGAGGATTTTAAAGCCAGCAGCAGTTGGCTGAATAGTTTGACATGTGGAGAATGACTACAATAAGAAACACCAAAAAGGATTGCTGCTGTTATCATGGAATGTGACTCACTTTCCAAACAATAATCTCCCTAAATGCCACTTCCTACATCTAGGTGCTATGTCATTATCAAGGTACAGTAAATACAGTGTTTTAATAACATTTTTAATTTGTAAGGTTTGTATTTAAATAAGACCATCCTGTGTTACTATGTTTAGTGTACTGTATTTAGGAAATACATGTTAAAATTGGAGTCTGCTGGATCCTGGAACAGATTAGTTTAGTTTCCATTATTTTCAATGGGAAAATTCCATTGGAACTTGAACATTTTAAAATTTGAACGCCGTCTTGGATTATGTTCAAATTCTGAAGTACCACTGTATAGTAATGAAAAGCTTGTGTCTTACTGGGAGCTCGTTTGGCAAGCAAAGAATAGGGAGGGTTGACTCGCCGTCCTATGTTACTGAAAATGTTAACTACAAAATCCAGTCAAGAATGGATTAGTCTAAAAAGGACTTAAACACAGCTGACTGAGGACCTATGTCCCACTGGGCTATGAAAGATGACAGATTTGAAGACACACACAAAATACAGTATAAATATAGTAAGGATCAGTAGAAATGTTATATTTATTTTTTAAAGTTTTAAGAATTGCAGAATGAAACCAGAATAATAATCAACCGACAGCAAGCATATATCACACCAGTGAAAACCAATTTTGGTCTATCTGATGATCTCCACACTGTCGCCCTGAAACTACCTTAAAACTAGTAACTTTCCGATGTCACACAATCCTGTAAATGCCAGTGTATCAGCATTTCTGCAGTGACTTATTCTCAAGAAGTTTAGTTAAAATGCCAATGGTTTGATTTGTCCCTACGCTCTGCTTAGAAGGCTAAGATATGAATATATTAACATTTAGCGGGTTTTTCTGTGCAACAAATAGCTATTTAAAGCCACACTGATGTCAAATTTTCCAGTAAGCCACAGTGACAGAGGTCACTACATCATTGACCTATTCTAAAAACAGTGAAGTTAAATGCTAATGGTTCTGTTTGTCCCTATGCTGTGCTTAGAAGGCCCGAATATGAATATGTCAACACTTTGCATTTAGTGTTTTTTTTTCCTGTGAATCAAAGTGCTATTTAATGCCACACTGATATCAGATTATCCAGTAAGCCGCAGTGACAGAGATCACTTACTTCCTTTAATTAATTTTTAATTTCCAGAACAAAATTTCAAATAAATTTAGAAAAAATCAATATTTTTTTTTTTAAAGCATTAGTGACCTGTGTAAATTAAAGAATTCTGCGGAAAGGGGTGTGGTTATTACAGGTAGTTTTTTTTTTAAAGTGTTCCCAGAGTGAAAGGGTTAAAGCTTTAAAGTCACCTGCTGCACACTGCACTACTTTTAAGTCACATCAGTAGTACTGACTGAAGGTGTTTTAAAAAGATTATTGACTGAATCCAATCAATCAGCTTCCACACATTCATACCTGCCTTCCTCTCTTCTCTCTGCTTCTCAGTTAGGATTAATGGTTGTTCTCCTGATCTAAAGAACAGAGTTTTACCCATCCTCTCAATCAATTTTCTCACTGAAAGAGAAACAATATAAAATAACACCATATTTCAACACCACACTAATATTATTGTTTATTGTACATTTAAAGATCATCTTCATCACACATGATTATAAGTGCTCCAATCTCCTCCCGAGTATGTCTCCAAGTGTTTTTAGGCTAAAAATCCCCATTCTGTTCTGGTTACTGTCACAACAGGTAGCTCCTGTTTGGTTTTCTTAACACGCTGCTCCAACCCATGGTATGCAGTCTATTGAGTGAAAAATAATTTTCCTTGAAGCTGAAAACCTCCCAGCATTTAGTCTCTCGTATGGCATTGATGCTGTCTCTCCTGTCCATAGATGGCCCATTCCTGATAGTCTCACAGTGGTTTGTCTCTCGTATGGCACTGATGCTGTCTCTCCTGTCCATAGATGGCCCATTCCTGATAGTCTCACAGTGTTTAGTCTCTCGTATGGCACTGATGCTGTCTCTCCTGTCCATAGATGGCCCATTCCTGATAGTCTCACAGTGTTTAGTCTCTCGTATGGCACTGATGCTGTCTCTCCTGTCCATAGATGGCCCATTCCTGATAGTCTCCCAGCATTTAGTCTCTCGTATGGCACTGATGCTGTCTCTCCTGTCCATAGATGGCCCATTCCTGATAGTCTCACAGTGTTTAGTCTCTCGTATGGCACTGATGCTGTCTCTCCTGTCCATAGATGGCCCATTCCTGATAGTCTCCCAGCATTTAGTCTCTCGCATGGCACTGATGCTGTCTCTCCTGTCCATAGATGGCCCATTCCTGATAGTCTCACAGTGTTTAGTCTCTCGTATGGCACTGATGCTGTCTCTCCTGTCCATAGATGGCCCATTCCTGATAGTTGCACTGCGAGTATGGCACTGATGCTGTCTCTCCTGTCCATAGATGGCCCATTCCTGATAGTCTCCCAGCATTTAGTCTCTCGTATGGCACTGATGATGTCTCTCCTGTCCATAGATGGCCCATTCCTGATAGTCTCACAGTGTTTAGTCTCTCGTATGGCACTGATGCTGTCTCTCCTGTCCATAGATGGCCCATTCCTGATAGTCTCACAGTGTTTAGTCTCTCGTATGGCACTGATGATGTCTCTCCTGTCCATAGATGGCCCATTCCTGATAGTCTCACAGTGTTTAGTCTCTCGTATGGCACTGATGCTGTCTCTCCTGTCCATAGATGGCCCATTCCTGATAGTCTCCCAGCATTTAGTCTCTCGTGTGGCACTGATGCTGTCTCTCCTGTCCATAGATGGCCCATTCCTGATAGTCTCACAGTGTTTAGTCTCTCGTATGGCACTGATGCTGTCTCTCCTGTCCATAGATGGCCCATTCCTGATAGTTGCACTGCGAGTATGGCACTGATGCTGTCTCTCCTGTCCATAGATGGCCCATTCCTGATAGTCTCCCAGCATTTAGTCTCTCGTATGGCACTGATGATGTCTCTCCTGTCCATAGATGGCCCATTCCTGATAGTCTCACAGTGTTTAGTCTCTCGTATGGCACTGATGCTGTCTCTCCTGTCCATAGATGGCCCATTCCTGATAGTCTCACAGTGTTTAGTCTCTCGTATGGCACTGATGATGTCTCTCCTGTCCATAGATGGCCCATTCCTGATAGTTGCACTGCGAGTATGGCCATCGAAAACACTAAAATTAATTCAGGAAGATATAATTTCAAAATTGAAAATTATATTACACTTAAATCAGGGATAGCACAAATGATAACTTATTTTCAAGTAAGAGAAATGTTTAAAAATGAATAGTGAGTTATTGTACAGACTATTAGCACCGAAGCAAAACTGATATCTGGACAAAAACCAACAGATAATATTATGTGATATATAACATGATGTGCCATGCTTGTTTGCACAGCTGACATATATCCTTCCACTCCAGAACAATCTGTACCCTGTTTTCATGATAAATTTCACTGTTGGCCATCATGCATTGCATCTATCCTCTGTCGTTTTTCTTCTTTCAATATTCCTGATTTCTTATGTGCTGAATCCTAAACATTCAATGAAATCATCTACCGTGGACTAATCTGTGTGATATATGAGTAAGGCTATGGACCCTGTGCAAATGTCACCAAGTCTCAGCTCAGTCAAGTGAAACTCCCAACTATACATCCTAGTGGTAGAAGACAAATTCATTGAGATGACAAGATTGTCACTACTATAATAAATGACAACTCTTTACACCTGAGCAAAATAAGGTATCACTAATCAATGTGGCCACAAATTGCTGTCAGAATTAGAGCTCACAAATATATATGAATGTGGAAGTCCAAGGGAAGCCACCATATTATATTCCTATGCATACAGATTTCACATAAAGAAGTGACATATTATGAAATGTCAATGCAGTTATCAGACCTTATATTTTGACATAACATGACAAGTAAGGAAAAAAAAACTTAAAAAGTGAATGTGGTGTTATAGAATGAAACATATATTACATATATGTAATTAAATGATAAAAGTGTATGCATAACTAAGATATAAGTTACTGACAAATCTTCATGCCAGTAGTGCAGAACCAGCCTCTGCATGTTTTGGCTGATGGTTTTTCTAGGCAAATGTATGTTTAGTAGTTTGCCACTGAAGTCAACGGGCGGCTCTCAATACCACTGTTGAAACCAACACAAAGCAGTCTGCTGCCAAACTGCCTGCAACCAGAATAGAACCCGGCACCCTGGCATTGTGAAGCATATTCACAACACCTAAGACACAGACAGAAAGAGGGTATTTTGATTTGTTATTATCCTATTTTTATAGATTTATACAGATACAAGCAATCAGCTACACTTGCACTTTTGGGCTATTGAACCGAGTTTACCCAGGGGCCAAAATATTGAAAATGGGGATTGTCCTGGCTGACCACCATTGTAGAAAGATCATTAGCACAATACAACTGGCAGTGATACGTGGGCTGGATTTGGTCTAGAGGCCACTGGCTGAATCACTCTGTTGTATGCTGAAAGAAAAGCCTGCACCAGTTTCACAGATGAAAACTTTTTTAAGGTCTGCCAAACAGAATGTCTGTTCATCAAACCAAATAGTCACAACTAACATCTTCCAGAAGAATTACCATTCACCCAGTTTTTATGTTATTGAAAAATGATGAATAAAAACCACACCTTTTTCTATGACTGCACTATCAGTGAGCTTCGCTGGGAGAATCTCAATCTCTGGGATACAATAGACAGGAAAGAGAAAACGTAACCCTAAAGTTCTCTGTCAGACACAGAAACAAACTGCATTAAAATGAGTATTTTAATAAATAATGACATTTGCTATTTTTAATACAAATATACCAGTTTAAATTATGTAACAAAATAATAATTAATATTTCAATATAACTAATTTGGTACACTTTTATTATGAAATAATTTATTATGGTGGATAAAACTTTAAAATTTCTATGGCAAGAATGTTTTCAACAATAGAAAACACAGGATTATTAGGCTTCCATGTTAAGAACACAAACTGACATTGAAAGAAGACAGCAGACAAAGGAGTAGCAGAGGAATACTCTGAAATGGATACAAACACTAATAATGAAATATTCTGGAAATGAGACCAAACTAAATGAACAGGAAATAGTCTGATATATTATCTGCTGATCTTCAGGCATCTAATATATAAATGTGCTGTATGTGGAGTTTATCAAACACCCAATGATATGGTTAGGGCTCACACACAAGCAATAGTGGTATGAATGTTTTATCATATGTTATGCAAACAGTAGCATATGCTGATTAGTTATATGACTTTCTTGGTAAAACATTCACCAAAACAATGGACTGTATGACTTGTGTATTTCAGTTAAATTATTATTTTGCATGCTTTGCTACATGAGGGGACTTCAAATGAGAACCTTAATGGTGTGACTGATATTACAATTACCATGCCATGGCTTGTAACCTGCTAGTACTGTTGTTAATGATGTCAAAAGTGTTAAGCATGTGGCATCACAGTGGAGACAAACATGGTAATGTAATAAAGACAGTTTATGATGGTTGCTCCATGTCTGACATGCACCAAAGAAAAGCAGCATTCAGTTACGCATTTTTTTTTCTTTTTAAATCAGTGAAGGGATTAAACCTATAGAAATTCATTGGAGAATGAAGATCCATTATCGTGATGTATGCTAGTCAGTCCCGGAAGTGTCTGAGTGGAGAATGAAGATCCATTATCGTGATGTATGCTAGTCAGTCCAGGAAGTGTCTGAGTGGAGAATGAAGATCCATTATCGTGATGTATGCTAGTCAGTCCAGGAAGTGTCTGAGTGGAGAATGAATATCCATTATCGTGATGTATGCTAGTCAGTCCAGGAAGTGTCTGAGTGGAGAATGAAGTTTTAAAATGATGTGACTTCTGAGACAGACTGTTTACTACTTAGTATGCATATTAAGGCACAGTTATTAAATGCAGGTAACCATGATTCATTGTGAATTATTTTCCCCTTCTTTTTAGTGTGTAATAAAACAAGTAGTTAGGATACAACAAATATAAATTAGTTTGCAATTAAAACAACACTCTTAAAACTGATAACTACCTGCTTATTAACAGCTCGCTCGTTGATCAAGTTGATGTCCAAACGTAAGGTATTACTTGCAATAACGGCATTCTCTTTACAGCAAAGGGATATTTCTGAATTATAATGTAATATGATAAATGATATTCCTATCCACACAAGTCAAGAATAAATATACAATAACCACTTACGTTTATAATAATCTCTGACTCAAATTTAAATGGGTGTTAAAATTCAACAGAAGACTAACTTTGGCCTGAACATTAAGACCCCCCAAAACGAAAGCTGCCCTATGGCTCAGACTTATGAAGAAACTCTCAAGATCAAGCTACACTGCAGATGCTAACACTGAGTGAAAGTACACACAGGTTACATATGACCAAAACTGGAGTATGGCATTTGAGCATACTCCATTTTAGTAAAATCAGATCTTAAGAAATGGACAAAATTCAGAATATTGGTCTCAAAATCATCAATGGAGGCATGAGAAGCACACCAGTCAATGAGATGGAGTAACTTCTGGCTTTCAGAGCTTAAGCCATCTAAGAAGAAAAAGTGTTTAATCTGACAGAAAAACTTAAAGTAAGAACAACAACCCCATGCACAGCATAGCAAACCTACTTTCTAAAGACCCTTCAACATGGGAAATGTCCAGGCATACAACACAAACCTACAAGCTAACTATACAGTGACAATGACAATCCCAGACATAGACAGAAAGGCTGAAAAATGTGGCCTAGTAATGAAAGCAAAGACCCTTGAACATGTCCACAACTATTATCCAAAACTCCATTGGATCCATACATACACTGATGGATCATTGGAGGAAGCAGCGACAATCAGAGGGGCCAGTTCTTTCATTATGCTGCAAGATGGAACCAAGGTGAAAAACGTAATATGCCTCTAGAAAACTTAACCAAGTTCAGAGCAGAGCAAAAATCAATTACTGATTCAACGACAAATGTTCGAGGAAAGAAAAATAAAGTAGCAAAATTGCTTTCCTGTGTGACTGCATGTCTGTCCTCCAGGCAACACGAGACAAGATCCATGAGACAACATGGAGAAAGAACTGCCCTGCCAACCGTTTAAACTCTCAGAAAACAAACATACTGTTCTTCAGTGGATCCGAACCAACTGCAGCATACTAGGAAATAAGTTGGTGGACAGACTTGCAAAGAATGAAACAAAGGAGAAACAACATACCCATTAATTTTCATTGCCAGAAATCAAATTACTTATCAAGGAAAAATAAAAGGAAATATGGAGATAACTAACCATCAGATCCTGTCAGTAGTCTCAAGGACTCGAGAAATCAACATACAACAATTTTCCATCTAAGAACAGGACACTGCAGGCTCAACTACCACATGCTTAAAATAAAGGCTATACACTTCCACAGTGTGCATGTTAGGTGGGACCACAGACATCTGAACACATACACGAAGTATGCAGAGCAAACATGGAGGACCTACAACTAACATGTGAGTTTATAGAGGCACCCCACCTAATGATCTGACCCAAGCATATGAAACCGAACACTGAGAAGAAGAAGAAAAGCAACTCAACCTACAGCATTCTCATTACAAATTATATTCATATTATATTATATTGACTTGTATAACGTGATCCATCAGTTTCACAGCAGTGCTGTCTGTAATGTGGTTTCAAACCCACTATTTTAGTCTAATAACAGAAGCTTGCAGGAATAAAATAACCAAGGAGGACGACATAGGATTTGAAAGCTTGCAAGAGAAAACCTAATTTTAGATCCTGCCAGTGACTAATACTCTGTGTCTACTTCTCTTTCCAAGGCTGATATAGCACAGACAATGTTAGACAACTTACTCTCAAAAATATCTTGCTTCCTCTCCAGGTTTTCTACTATGACCTCAAAGATGAAGTCAGCATCCCTGACTGTCTCTTCCAAGTGACTCATACAGAATACTTGTCCCTGCAACATGTGCCACATTCAAATACTACCATATTTGCAGAGATTTTCAAACATCAAATTTGTCAGTGCTTGTCATTATTAAGAGGAATTTGGAAGCAACAGAGATGGGGTTTCTGAGACGAATGTTACGAATAACTTAGACGATTAGAGTAACTAACAATGATTGTTTGAAAGAAGCTAATGAAAGCAGATCTCTAAATGCAACAATAAGAAAGAGAGAAACACTGTTCTCTGGCCACATAATGAGCAGAGAGACATAAGACAACATTGTGACAACTAGAAAGATCAGTGGAAAAAGAGGTAGAGGCAGACCAAGAGAGATGATGCTGGAGGGGCTGAAACTATGGCATGGATGGATATCAAGAGAGCTCCAGGCAACCAGGGATCGTGATCTGTGGAGATGCATAAGCGCCTATGCCAGTTGGCAGGGCACATGATGATAATGATGATGGGTCATTATTTAAATATTTAACTGTGGTAGTCTTTGTGCCAGTTTACCCTGTCGCAAGTAAATCATGCCCAGGTTTTCTTTAGTGTCTCTACTGTTAACCATCAATGTTTGTCAGTCCCTGCTTAGTCTTCTAGTCTTCCATGTTGGTCCTTTCTAAACCACTGTTGTAGTCACCAGGGTTAAGAGGTTGAGCAGTTTGCTCTTATATTCATTTACTGGATTGTGACATTTGGCTCATCAAGGCAATTTTTTTAAACATATATCTTGGGCATCATCACTAGAGCTACAGATATTATGTAATATTATAGTATATACAAGGTCCGACAATTAAGTAATCTGGTAATCCTAGTTTCAGCTTCATAGCAAACGGGTCACCCCATAGTTGCTCCACTCCTGTGCCAACAAAAAACACATGTAGCTCACAGTGTCACGCCATGCACTCAACTCAGAAGCTGGGCGACGAAACTATATCCTTCCAGTCTACAAATGAAGCAAAAATGCAACGGCCACCGTCTGGCGGGGGAAAAAAAAGGTGGCCGTGCCTAGCGTCCATTTTGATGTGAAGCATTATATGAGGGTTAATAAACGGTCACCCCAGCAGTACCCTCATTATTAGCTGGGGAAGGGACTTAGGACATTACATCCACCAGCAGGTGTCACCACTACAATGACCTGCCTGCCTTCGTTAAGGACTGTTCACCCAACAGCCATGCAGTTCTTTGGCATGAAGGAGACACCTTGAACTTGGGTTTCGGACTGCCGACTCCTTACAAGATGTTATTTTATGTTTTGTTATCACACTTAATGTCACTGCACATTGGGCATACCCATGCGTGCTCAGTTCTCCGAAGCAGCAGCCACTCCAAAGTACTTCTACTAATTGTCCCCATGAGAAGCTGGTTATATCGTCTCCTTTCTCGGCCCCGAAGACGAACGAACGAACGAACTTTATTTTCAAAGGGTCACAAATTGGGCACGCAGGCCCGTCTTACATTCGGCCCTTCCAGTCAACCATCTTTCGCACAGCAGTTGTATTTTACTAATAAAGCATGTTATGATCATATGATGATATGCATATTATGAATATTATAAAAGAACACAAAAGCATGAGTTGTAAAGTGCATGCAAAAACCCGCGCGTGCATACATACACCCACATACACGCGCTCACCCACTCACTTACACACACAAACATGCATGCATACATTACATACATACAAACAAACATGCATACACACATACACACAGGCATACGTACACACAAACATACATACATAGATACAAACATACATTCATACGTAATACAGGCATACACGCATACAGTCATAAATACAGTCATGAATGGAGACACACACATGCACACACAGACACTCCCACAGAGACACACACACACTCAGACAAAAATACAGACACACACACAGACACTTACATATAAACACACACAGGGGAACACACAGCACACATATTTACATTCGTGCTCACACACTGACACACACACCACACATACGCAGACAAACATGCAGACGGCAAAGACGTGCATCACCATGCTTAACTCCCATGTCATGCAATCGTGTTAGTGTTAGGGATTCCTCATTCTCCACTAGCCCAGCTCGTACAGCGTTGACGATATCTGCTCTGTCCATGCTTTTTCCCGCAATCATTAGTGCAGTGCTTGCCAGTTGGTCCGCTCGCTCATTTCCCTTTACGCCTGCATGACCCAGTGTGTAGATCCAGGTTATGGAGGTTAAGTGCGATTTCCGAATGCTTTCTATCCATTCAGAGCGCATACTGCCTGTTGCTATCTTCTGAAGAATATTCATTGAGTCTTAGACAATTACTGCCTGTGTAGTAGTTTGCTCGGATACCCACGCTAAAGCTCTAGAAGCAGCGGCTATTTCCATTGTCATGCTTGAGGTGGTTGTCTGGTAAGCGCCGCTGTCCTCATGTATTGTTTTCCCCCTTCTTTGCGCTGTGTATGCCCATGCTGACCTTGATCCGCGCTTCACGGATCCATCTGTGTAGATGATATCTTCTGGGTCTGAATGCTGATCTATCAATTCCCTTACTTCTGTGTCTACAGCCACAGGAATTTGGTCCCTGCAATACCTTCCAAGTGTGATGACAACCTTAGAGATGCCATGCATGTCTACTGGTGTATTCGTCCATTCTTTTCCGTGACTGACCACGTCTAGGTCACATACCTGCTGGATTAAATCCTCAGCCTTTGCCATCCAAGAGCGGCCTCTTTTGAGACGCGTTCCTTTTGTGTCATGTATAGCTTTGTGCAATGGGCGGTTAACGTCTGCCGATACCCTCATGTAAGCCTTGACGTGTGCCACTTTGTATCTGCTAGTTATCATCGGCAAACCCAGGACATAACGCATGGCGTTGCAGGAGGTGTCTTTTGTGCAGCCGAGTATGAGTCTCATGGCCTCATTTGGACTCGGTCCAGTCTTTCTAGCTGGGTTTTGCTGACAGTGAGGAGGGCAAGACCATAGTCAATGACGCTAAGCACAAGCCCTTGATATAGAAGGAAAAGTAGGCGTTGTTCAATATCAGCTGCTGCTAGCACCTTGAGTGCTGTCAAACCTTTCCTGGCTCTAAATATGATGTTGTCTACGTGGCATTTGTATGACAGGCATCTATCAAATGTCATGCCCAGGTATTTCATGGTGTCCGTTCTCTCGATGTCCACACCACACATGCTTACGACTGGCGTTGGTGTACTTACGATGTGGGTATTCAGAGAGAACCATGTTAAGGAGGCTTTGGACGGGTTCACCTGAGCTCTTGATTCCTGGCACCACTCACTAAGTCTGTCTAGTTCATGTTGTAGTGTGGTTGTAATTTCCTGCCTGTTTTTACCTCGACGGTAAACAAGGATATCATCTGCATACGACATTGTTCTGCCTAGGCCTACGCTTTGTGCACTCGTGACTCCTGCTGTGTACACATTGAAGAGCACAGGTGACAATGGTGATCCCTGGGGCAGACCCATTAGGACGCGTTGAAGTTCGGATGCCCATTCACCACATCGAAGCGACACTGTTCTTTCAAATAGCGCTGCTGCGATCCAGTTGACGAATTTTGTTTTTATCTGCATATCGAACAGCAGTCTGATGAGCATGTTGTATGGGACGCTGTTGTACGCATCTTCTAAGTCAATAGCTGCTGCAGCTATTTCCATTCCCTCCTGGAAACCCTCATGTGTCGTAAGCAAATACTGCAGCATTGCACCATGAATCTCTTCCTGGTCCGTAGCCACCTAGTGTAGCGGGGAATAGGCCACCTGACTCCAATGTTTGGGTCAACGTTCTGGCAACGATTTATTCCATGAGTTTTCATACAGTGTTCTGGAGTGTGATGATTCTGTAGCCATTTATTCTCGTGTGGTCTTTTCCTGGCTTAGGAACCGGTCTGAGGTAGCTGTGGAGCCGGTCATCAGGTAATGAGACTGATTTTATAATGGGCAATATTTAAGTCAAATATTTAAGATCCATTTTAAGTGACTTGGGATCACGACCAGAAATCATGTCTAGGATTGCCCAGACAACATCAGCCCTTGTCAAGAGGCAAACATTATGGATATACCAATAAAATTTCATATAAAACTAAGATTTGATTGCTCAGAGCACTAGCTATTAGTACATTTACAAAAATTTCTTAGCATATCATACAGAGACCACATTACAAATGAAGAGGTTCATCATAAAATTATACAGCGCATTGGCAACTATGAACCTCTTTTGACTACAGTGAAAAGGCAAAAAATGCAATGGTTTGGACATGTAATAAAATCTAACGGCCTCTCAAAAACAATACTGCAGGGCTCAGTAGAGGGAAAGATGAGATGAGGCAGACCAAGAAAGACCTGGTTACAGAACCTGACTGACTGGACATGCCTCAGGCATGCAACAATGACCACCAGGGGTGGAGAGAGATGATCAAACAATCAACGGAAACTGGTGACCCAATGACACGTAGTGTTAAGGGATGATGATGATGATGAATCAGAGGTGCATTGTTACGTAATCAGCATGGAGCAAAAAAGCTAACATTAAATTCTGTTAAAACTCAGAAAAAGCGCCATAGCAACAGTTGAATGGGGATAATTATTTATCCCGCACACAGATTTTCAGTTGGTATTCACAATTCAAAAGTGGCATGAAAATGATTGCTAATGCAATTAGACCTGGACGCCCAATTTCTGTTCGTAATGAGGAATTCATTGCAAAATTCCAAGAACGGATACAAGAAGATCATTGTTCAACTGTGAGGATGATGGTAGATGAATTTGGTGTTAATACAGAGACCATTTGTAAAATTTTAGAGGAAGATTTGGGCAAGAAAAAACTTGCTTGTCTTTTTGTATTCAACACCTGGCAATTTGTTTCCTTCTTCATGACAATGAACCAGCTTAAAGGGTGGTAGTTGTACAGGAATTTGTTTGCCCCAAAACAGATGCGTGTTCTCAACCATCTACCCTATTCTCTGTAATTATTTTCTATTCCCAAAATTAAAGTTGCCATTGATAGAACACATCTTTGACAATATTGCTGGCATTCAAAGAGCTGTAACATCGACTTTAAGGGCCATAAGGATAGAAAAACTACAATGGTCATTCCAGTGTTTGAATCGTGTCACTCGCTGTATCAAGAAGCTTACTTTGAATAAAATACAGGTTATATCTTGAACTATAGATTATTATTGGGGGGGGGGGGGGGGGAGAATTAGTCTCATTACTTAATTGTCAGACCTTGTATATTATAGATAACTCTAACCCTAACAACCCCTTTCCCCCCACCATACACACAATAAACAAAATTTTCTATTTTTGCCTATTAAAGAGTATATTTTTTTCATTGCCAGGTATTAATCTAAAAAAAAAAAGGGCAAAAATTGTGTCTTGGGTCAGAATCTGCACAGAAACACATTTGTTCAAAACTGACCTTGGCTTCCCGGTTACCCCAGCCTAAAATGGGCACTATTTAAAGTCATATAAAGCAAATAAGGTCGACATGATGCTGACAGCATCACACGTCTGGTGCTGACTGGTCTACAAAAACACCAGTCCCATTCAACATATGCCAGATTCACCAGTGGCATGAAAATGGTCTTTAATTATTTTCTCACTTAAACAGTTTCACAATGCTAATGAATATCCCAGGTAGAATGTATACTGTTTCAAACAGTTTCACAATGCTAATGAATATCCCAGGTAGAATGTATACTGTTTCAAACAGTTTCACAATGCTAATGAATATCCCAGGTAGAATGTATACTGTTTCAAACAGTTTCACAATGCTAATGAATATCCCAGGTAGAATGTATACTGTTTCACAGGATGAACAAATGTTTGTCCTATGCTACAATACATGTTATGTCTAGTCTGTTTCATCCCATATCATAATGAAAACATGTGTATTTAGTCTTTCCGCCAGATGTATCTTTACCCACAGATATAGCAACCCAGCAGGGAAAGCACTCTGTCTTTAGTCTTTAGTCCCAATCTGTCTTTAGTCCCAATCTGTTTTTAGTCCCAATTTGTCTTTGGTCCCAATTTGTCTTTAGTCTTTAGTCCCAATTTGTCTTTAGTCTTTTGTCCCAATTTGTCTTCAGTCTTTTGTCCCAATTTGTCTTTAGTCTTAAGTCCAAATTTGTCTTTAGTCCCAATCTGTATAACTCTTGCCAAAGATGTTCAAGCTGAAACTGCTCAATGTTCCAATAGCAAAGTCAGCTTCAGTAGTAGACCAAGGAATAATATATTTATTTTCCAGTCACCTAATCCTTACAGATTTCTTTCTTCTTCCAGAATTGACATGATCAAAACAAAAACACCTACCAGAAAATGTTTTTGTGGCAAAAGTCCTTCTGAATTAAGAAGCTGTACATCGTCCTCTAAAATATCATGTACTTTATTCAGTGCAGCTGTACTGACATCATAGATTTTCACTCTATGACCATGGTAAGCAAATTCCCCTGCAATTTGAATTCATAATGTCACAGGTCATCAGTAAACACCAGTACTTTTAAATATTTATACAAATCTATTATGAGTTATCAACTGGAGCGGAGCAGTCCGGTTGGAATTTCAAGTTCTCTTGGTTCGCTCCTTCCTCAAATGCTACTTCTTAAGAGCTTTCAGTTAAACATTAAATATGTTTTAAAACAAAATATACAGTTGTGGTCCAATAAGTTTGCTTTACAAGATTTCTACAACAATCATCATGTACCCTGAAAGATTGTGTAGGTGCTCATGTCTCTCCACAGATCTCGATCCATGGTATGTTCAATCAATTCCACTGATGATTTTCCACCATACCATCGCTTCAGACCACCAAGCATAATCTTTCTTGGTCTGCCTCTGCCTCTTCTACCAATAACCGAAGAACACCGACTGCTTCTTTCTTATAGTTGTATACACTTTTCTATAATTTCTTGAGCCGTTCAGAGGCAATCGTTGTTGCACGCTGGCTGTCCATGGTATCCACAACATATATCTAAAAAAATAAAAACCTACATCGCCACAGCTTCCATGTTTTTAATTTGTTTTGTTCACACTCCAAAATTCACAGCCACACAGTTCAACATAACATTCAAACGCTCTTTTTCTAATGTTTAACTTTTTGCTGTTCAGAAGTCTGGTGCATTACTGTCTCCCATTACCATTGGTGTTTGCAGATTGTTTTCAAAATGACTGGTTTTCCAATTAATTTTATTAAAAAACTATAAATGAGCGTAGTGTTTTGAAACCTTCGGATATAAATAGTTGCTACACATAAAAAAAGATATACTATGCCAATATATCACATGATTAGGGACATCTTTAATTTTTTGTGGTTATTTATAGAAATTTCAGATGTTCTAAAATCACAATTTTCCCCAAGTTTTTAGTGAAGTTGTTCAATGTCAGTGCAGTAAAATGTTTGGGACATCAGAAAAAGCTCAATGGTAGCACTTTTTTTTTTAAAACAGAGATCGTCATATCTGGAGTACGTATAGTGCATTGCTTTTTTCTTTCTATAAATTCATATGAATAATTTCCATCTTTATTTTCTTTCTTGTTCTTTTCATTATAATTCTAAGCAGAAGTTTAGTGGCACGGTTGATCTGGCTTATTGTACAAACTTCATCATATTCAACTGCACCTGGCCTCTAGGGTAGGGTAATAAATTCTGATTTCAGTATATTCTTAGGCACATCTCCACTACTGAACATCATTCATCTACTGAACATCATTCATCTACTGAACATCATTCATCTACTCAAAATACTTCTAACTCCTCTACCATTTTTTCATCAGATCCAGAAATTTTATTTTTCTTCATATGCTTGACAGCATCAGCAACTTCTTCATTTAATATTGGTGGACCTTTTATGTTACCTTCTACTATTAATTCTTTTCTTTCTCTGTTGTACAACTCCTGTATGTATTAATTCTATCTATTTATAGTTCCTTTTTTCCTTTAAAACTTTTCCTGTCTTTGATTTCAAGCATTCTGTGTAAAATATTGTCTTTCTGCCAGTTAATTCATTGATCTGCTTGTGTATAATTTTTTTTTTAAATCTGGACAATGGGACTGGCTCAAAGAGTTGGAAGAAATCCCTTCTATTTTGTGGGGATTTCAATGAACGGAACAGATCATGGAACAACACTTGGAGAAACAGACAAGGAAATGCTTTAGCAGAGGCTATGGTAGATGCAGACATAGTCTGTATTAATGATGGTAGGCCAGCTAGAATGGCAATGAGACCTGGTGATACAGACACACTTATCAGTTTGGCATTTGTTATCAAGTCAGCAGTGCTGGACACAAAATAGAATGTCCTGGGCAATCATGGCAGTGACCATATGCCATGCTCAGTCTTGATTTCTAAAGCTAGCAAGATCAGAGCTATGAGAACACGCAAGACTTTTAAGTATGAAGAGCCAGTACCCTTCTTGAATGCCTTCGACAGAAGGTATGCAGCAAAACCACCACCTCTGCTTTTGTGCAGCCTCCATGGTGGACCCAAGAAGTAGAACAGGCATGGAGAGCAAAGCCAGCAGCAGTTAAACAATTATAGAAAGTGTGAAAGACACCCCACAGGTTACAAGAAGATGTAGAGAGGCTATAAAGAGTTCAAAAACAAACAGTAGAAAAGTTCAAACGGAGTGCAACAGATGTAAAAAAAGGTTAAATGGGAACATTTTATGAGCGAAATTGGAGAGGAAAAATCACTAGGTAGGTTTCTGAAACTTCACAGAAGGATCGGCCTATCACAACAGGCATTATAAACACTGATAAAGGTATACCAGTGACAACAGACAAAGAGAAAGGAGAAGCATTTTTGGAGAGATTTATAGCCCAGACTGAATATAATGATATGAAGCTTAGAAATTCAGTTAGAGATAATTTGTCTAATACTATAAATGATAATTATCTTCAGGATATCATTAGAGTGGAGATAAGAAAATATATAGTTAGTTAGTCAACAGGTTATCACCATCCCATATCGAACCATCCAGTCCATAAGTGCCTTTGTGTATCGCTTTCAGCATGTAGTGGCTTATGACACCAGTTCTGTGTTGGTTTACTATTCTTCTTTGAGCCCCTATGTAGCGCTCTTGTCTGGCTTTACCCCTTTTCATGTTATGTTCCTTTAGTCTCATCAGTGTTGCAGATTCACAATCATTACTTGATTCATTTAATCAAGCTGCTTCTCTGGGGGCGTTCAGTATATCAGCCCTGTCCATTGCTCATCCGTTTCCCACATGAGCATCACTTGCAAATCTGTCAGCTCCTTCACTGCCCTTTACACTAGAATGCCCCAGAACAAATATGAAGCTGATTTCTGTCAGCCTGGATCTATTCCAGGACTCCACACATTGTTTTCGTATGCAACCCTTCTCGATCTTCTAGAGCATATTCATTGGGTCGTTGAGAAAGTATGCCCAGAGGAAAGTCTGTGTTTCCTGCCAGGCTATTGCTTTAGTTGCTGACATGACCTCCACAGTCAAACTGCCTGTCATTAAGGTTAAGGCACTGCAGTCTTCTTTGACAGTTCTCCCTCTGACCTGAGCCGTAAATGCCCATCAGCTCCTGACATTTCAAATGACAGACCGTCTGTGTAGATGATATCATCACCCTCAAAAGAATTCTCACATTTCAAGGCCTACACTTCTGCTTCCACAACCACTGGGTTTTGTTGTCTACATTCTCTGTTCAGCGCTTGATGCCTACTTCAAAGAAAGTGTACACTCTGGTGGTACATGTACCCATTTTTCCCCAAGTTCTGTTTTTTTGCAGTGGGTGTTGTGTGTCAGCACTAACTCAGAGGTAGGCGCGTGCTGGACAGATCCTTACTCTAGCTTGCATTGTTGGAATCTGATTTGTGTAGGGTTCTAATCACTCTAGGTCTTAAGTGAAGGAACTTGCCAGCTGGTGCTGCAGAATCAGAAGCTCAACAAATGATTCATGACAATTCCCGCCCAGGTGGCTCTGTGTTGAGAGGCAGACGAAGTTCAAGGGGGTTTACAGCACAAGTAAATGGAGTTGCTTAGTGCAGCAAAGCCTGGCATAAGATATGACAATGTCTAGCTTGTGAATGGAGGTGAAGGCAGTCACTGCTGCCTTCTGTCGGCTTAAGAATCAGATGTACACACATGTCATAACTGTAACTGACTCAGAAAGCATGTTGAGAAAGGTGTACTCCATGAAGAGTGGCAAGCATTGCTTCAGAGGTACAGGGTACTTAGCATCTTTTGGATATTTTTTTCAGGGTTAACCAGTGTGTTGAGAAATGAGCAGGCAGATAGACTGGCCAGTTCTGCACCATCTAGATCTTGTCAGGACTCTTTGCGAGTGAGTGAATAGTACAGAGGCATAACAGATCATTATTGTCTAAGGAGAACGGCACTCTGAGAAGTTACCAGGGGATCTGGCCGATGCTCAACACTCAAGGGAAAGGTTAATGGTGCCATTGGAACTGGAACTCTTTGCATGCTGCTGAAGATAGAGACATAATGCTTTTGGGAGTGTGTCCCGACGGCTATGATGACGACTCTTAATTCAAACCTATCTCACACTGGTCATGCTATACAACAATACTGATCTGATAGATTTGTTTTACAAGATTTATAGAATACAGTTAGGGCAGGCAGTGACTAGACACTTGCCTGCATGTTTAAAGATCTTGGGTTCTGAGCTACAATTTAGGGCTTGGGTGATTTCTATATTGACCCAGCATAAAAATGGTACTTTGATATGTCACAAGAAGTATATGTGCCAGTGGATGTTGACAATTTACCAATCAAGTTTCCATAAATTTAAAACTGTTTTCTTCTTTCTGAAGTTTGATGTATCATTGGCATTAAAAAGTTCTTTTATTTTTGTACACAGAACATAATTAATTTTAATGTACATTTCAAGAATAAACAAACTTTATTTTCAAAGAAACCTGATGAGAACAATATGATACAGCTTTCCTGAAAACAACAAGAATGAGTTGTTTGGTTCACAATTATCTGTGTTTAAAAAAAAAGACCAAAACGTATGGAGAACAGAATCAGAGAGTGAGGTGGAAAGGATAGGGAAGATATGAGGTAAGTTGCACTGTGTTGACAGATCACAGGACGACATGACTCAAGTTTGTTTAGTGCATATGCTCTAATGGGGATAAATACAGACAAAGAAAAAGAAGATTAAAATAAAACTATAAACACTGTTAATTATGTAGACCACTATGTCAAAAAAAAAATATTTTACAACCTAAACAATAATCATATTTGAAAAATATGTAGAAATAAATAAAATTAAGAAGCTCAGCATTTGACTAGAACATAATAAATTGACATAGCTTGAAAACCCCAACATCTGACTGTAATTCATGGCAATAACAGATTTCATACTAGATTTTTCACAAGCAAAAGTGAACATAACAGATGTCTGGGACTGATGACACAGAAGCAGCTCAAACAGACTGGATAACCATGATAAAGTACAGTCCCAGACAGAAGAAGCGGAAGTAATAATAAAAACACAGCAGGACAGGCAGATTTCAGATTGAATGACCAAACATTAAACATGTCTAATACCTTTAACACTAAAACACATAAACACAGCACTTGTATACAAGTTAAGACTATCTACTGCAGTGGCACACTGTACTCCAGGGCTATTCAACTGGCCGCCCGCAGGCCACATCTTGCCCACAAAGACCTAGCAAGTGTCCCACAGATCATTACTACTTGTGCTGTATTACTGATCTTTCTATGCTGGCACTCGAGCCTCTGGCCCGTGATGATCCCAATATTGTGGCCTGCGAGTAAACTTAGTTGAATAGCCCTGCTATACACAAATGTAAGAGACTTCTTCGAAGGTCTTGTGTTAAAAGAAGCTTTGAAGCAGTAGTTTTCGCTACCTGTTGCAGAGAAATGTATGTCTATGCTATTTGACAAGCCACATTTTGATGATGATATCTACTGTTACCTGCTATTTTAACACCCATCTGGCCAGCTCCCACCACTGCTATCTGCACCATTTTGGACACCTTTATAAAAATGAATTTAATTAGTAAACATCCTGTTTTCATGACTGAGCTAACAGTAATAGGTAATAAGTCATTTCTAAAATTATGTAGACATTTGAACTTTAAATGATTCTGCACATTCTCATGATATGTTCCAAAAATGTAAATTTTCTTCTTCTTTTTTCACAAGTCTTTCATCATCAGGTTTTGAAGAAACATTGGATGGCCGCCTTAGTCCAACTTTTCTTAATGTTATTTCTTTGAGCAGAATTGTTGGTCCATGCCAGCGTGCTGGGCTTGACATATTTTCAGGGAGATTTTAACCAGGTGGAACTCATCCTACTTGGTGAGCCACAGTCCGGTTAGACTGAGGCCTTACAATCTGAGTTTTCTGGTGTGCACCAGCAGGAGGTGGTTTGACTTGAATGTCCTATGGGTAATTGGTAGGTTAATGATTTTTGTTTTTCACTCTTCCAAAGAAAGAACTTCCAACCCCCAACACTGATGATTCAGTACCAGATGTTTGGAACATCACATTTTTGTTGACTTGGATGTCCTATAGGTCTTTGGAAGGTTAATGATGTTTGTTTTTCACTATTCCAAGAAAAGAACTTCCAACCCCAAACACTGATGATTCAGTGCCAGATGTTTGGAACATCACATGTTTGTTGACTTGGATGTCCTATAGGTCTTTGGCAGGTTAATGATGTTTGTTTTTTACTCTTCCAAGGAAGATCACGAACCAACATCATGCCTTCTTCTAAATAACCTAGTGTACCCTATATTAAAAGGAAATGTATAGCCAGTCCAGGTTTGACTATTGGAGAATATCCTGCTACTCTCTCTGTAAAGAGGTATGTCTTTCATGAAAGCAAAGATATATTTTCTGATAGCAGTTGCGTGAGCAACAGTTTTGTTACTGATCTACATATTTTACAAATTATATCACTTACATCTAAACACTCAGATCTAAATTTAAAACTGATGAGGAGACTAACTCTTTAACTATTTGAGTCCCAAGGAACGCATCATACGTTCATAGGTTCCTACCTAGAAGCCCAATGAACGCATAATGCGCCGATTTGATTACTTTCTTTACTATGCCCTGGGCCTGTGATGCTAAACTCTCTGGGACTCAAAGAGTTCAGGCCTGAGCAATGCTGTGAGTGTTGACTGAGAAGTTATGGTTTGCCCAAACAACACTATCAGTGTTGATTGTGTGTCCCATACATATTGACTCACATACAGCTCCGTATGCGTTTCTAATGTTCGGAACTACTATTAAAATATTCAGGAAAGGTTACTCTAAAATTTTTCTGTATACAAATGTCTTTGTTTGCACACACATAGGCACAGATTGATCCGATTCACTGCTTGTGTCATTATTCAGACATTTGCTATTTAACTGGCCACGGATACCAACGTTCCTAACACAAGCACAGACCAAAAATTGCGCCTTTCTGTGGCTGAAGCTCTGAAATTATATCACATAGATATTTTCTAATTGTGATGATAACGACAGATGAACATTTTTCTTAAGGTGATTCGGACGGTGAATTTACACCAGAGGGAACTGAGTGGTCAGCTGTTTGTTCTGATGAGGTAAACACAAAGGGACCCATTTTATTTGTGAAGGATGTTAAAGTCATTCACATTTGCATTTAAAGGACTGTTTCAGACAGTACCATATTCATACTGTGGCTAAGCTGCATTGAAATCATTGCAGATACAGTCTTTATATAACTACAAAGTTAATATTTTGTGTGTATTGGCCCAGTTTTCTGCCATTTTTTGTTGTTGAAATTTTGTTCAGCATCTATGAGAAGATAGAGCCTCTGAGTTATAAATTAACCCATAAACGCCTCATAAATGTTGAATTTGTTAGAAAAATTAAAACAATTTAAAGTATTATTCTCACATTTGGCTCTTGTTGCCGCAAAACCAGGGTAAGTTAAAGATTTTTAAAGTAAAATTTCATCTTTGTAAACATAACACTTGCTGAATTATTTTCTTCCTACTAACTATAACAGCACTTAAAGTGCAGATTTCCGGCAACTATATCGCCACCGCTGAGAGTATCTTTATACGCTGCAGAGCGGGGCTAAACTAGATGGCTGGGACTCACGAGCAACAGCTTCTGCATCTCCTGCAGCTTTGCTCATGAGACCCAGCCAGCTAGTTTAGCCCCTGCACGCAGCGGCACGGGAGATACTCTCGGCATCGGCGGTATAGTCGCTGGAAGTCCACAATTTACATGTGACTGAGGCCCTGTCAGGGTGTGCTTTTGGCTGCCATAATATGTGGCCGTTATTCGGAGGATAGCCCCCTTCTGCCATTTTGTAAAGGGAAAGTAATGTGAGCTAAGGACTTGAAGGAGTTAAATGAGGCATCCTTGATTCTGACTTTGTTCAGCTATCCATCCAACAATGCAGTTGCACCATTTAAAAAAAATCACTGTTTAAAAAAAAGTAGTTAGTTCGAATCTTTTTACAGGACGTTGCAGAAACGACCACTGGCAAATTGTGGACTGTTTGTGACGTTACTAGGCAAGGCTACATTGATAAGTTTGCCATTGCTACTGAGTACAAGTACGACTACTAAAACGGTCGGCGCTCCATACTATTGTCACTGTGGAAATCAAGGCAATGCTGTCTGCTGTTCCCAATTAAAATCGCCTCCCACTGAAACGGATATTTATTTCGGAATCACAAAGCGCATTCTCAAAGCTTAAGTGCATATTTATTAATTTGTTTTGTTACTACAACTGGTGACCATGATTTCAATATCAACTCTGTCAGTGGCATCTTTCATCTTGTCATCAGTCCAGATTGAATTTAATTGACTTAGTACTGATTTAAGATCTGATAATGCTTTCTTAATGATCCATAATCATACAAGAGCCAGTACATTTAGTTACAGTTACAGTACTATAACTAAAATGTGTGCTCCCAGACCATATCGTTGCTAACCCCTGTTTACCTGAGACCTGTGGAATGTGTGTGGAGTAGTGTTTGTTTACCTTATTACTTCCCGTGCCGTCAACAACAAGCGGCTCCACCCGCCCACAACACAAGAAACGGTGACGAATGACGATACGGAAGCGTTCTGGATTACCTGTTACCTTTTGCTGATGCTCTCTCTAGTCCAGTCATGCTAAGCTAAATATTATGTTGTTGTTTCGGCCCTCCGTTCAGAAAACACAGTGCTTGCATTAAAACCCTTGTTGTGTGGCCCGTGTAATTACATAAACTGAGTGGATGTTCCAGATATTAAAGATTGGGTAAGCTCACTTTTGTTGTCACTGTCAAGCTGAACGCACTGTAGTTAATTTAATTGTATTCAGTCTAATTCTAGTTTTCTAATTGAATCATTCTTGATCTAGACGTCACTGTGCTGGCTTCGTCAACCCTGCGTTTGGACAAGTCGACAAAATATGCGCACTTTATGCAGAAGTCAAGACTGCTTTTAGTGACCATGTTCCAGTTGTAGGAAAAATTAGAATAAAACTAAAGAACATTAGAAAAACACCACAGAACATCAAGTTAAATTTAGGAATTCTTGGAACGGATAAAGAAATTAAGGACCATTACAATGTCACTGTACAAAACCGGTGTAATGGAAATTATACAGACTATTGATGAACAGTGGGATATGTTGCGTGAGTCAATTCAGCAGACATCTAAAGAGACAATCCCACCAACCCATAGTTGCAAAAAAGAAATGGATGTCAACCGAAATTCTGCAGGTGATGGATGAAAGAAGGAAGAAGAAGAATGATAAAGAGGAATACTCTAGCATACAAAAATAAATAGTGAACAAATGCAAAGTGGCTAAAGAAGCTTGGCTGAATCAAATGTGTACAGACATTGGGGAAAATCACGGGAAAGACTCACATTCCATGTACTATGTACCAACAGATAAATATGTTAACAGGAAAGATGACACATAACAGCACTGGATGTTTAAAATCAAAAGATGGTGACTTATTAATGGGACATAGTAATATAATTAACAGATGGACAGAGTATATAGGGGAATTGTGTGATGATAATAGACCAGATGTAGAACTGCAGACCAACAATGATGGTCCACCAATAATGACTGCAGAAGTTGAGGATGCAATACATCATATGAAGAAAGGAAAAGCACCCGGCCAGACAACATCTCACTGGAAGAAATCGAAGCACTGGGAAATTTTGGAACTGAAATAATAACTAAACTTTTAAATAATATTTATAATAGTGGGTATATTCCAAATGACCTTTTAAAATCCATATTTATAGCTCTGCCAAAGAAAGAAACCAGGCACTTTATAATGTGAAGACCATGGCATAATAAGTCATATGAGTCACATGACTAAGATTTTACTGAGAATAATTATGAGAAGAATAAGAAACAAAATTGAACCAGAAATCAGCGATGAACAATGTGGATTTGTAGAAGGAAAAGGTACAAACAATGCCATATACATCCTAAGGACATTGTCAGAAAGAGCTATAGAAGTAAAGACTGATTTGTACTTCTGCTTCATAGACTATACAAAAGCATTTGACTGTGTGAAGCATGAAGAAGTAATCAAACTGTTAGAAAAATTAAACATTGATGGGAAAGATCTATGAATAATAAAGAATATGTATTGGCAGCAAACAGCAGCTATAAAAATTAACAACTGTTTAGGTACATTTCAAAGCATAAAGAGGGGCGTACGACAAGGATGTGTACTATCACTTGATTAGTTTTCAATATACAGTGAATATGTATTGAGATCTTTAATTGATTTTCCTGGAATTGTGGTTGGTGGGCACAATATAAACAATTTACATTATGCTGATGACACAGTCTTGATAGCAACAAGTCAGAAAGAACTACAGGAAATGATAGACATTGTGGCGTTAGAAAGTGGAAGAATGGGCCTCAGTTTGAATAATGAGAAGACAGAAGTAATGGTGGTATCAAAGAAACGAATTATTCCTAAATGTGTAATAAAAATCGATGGTGTTATTTTAGGACAA